CTGCAAATCTGGAATTAAGTCCTACAAAAAAGTCATTTCATCAGCTGAATCTAGGCAGGATATAATATGTTATACAAACTTATGCATTGTGTAGTAAAAGGGTGCACGATGAGTTTCTATGTGCAGATTTTAAAAGTACTTTAAGGACAAGAAACTAGAGACTCTAAAGAGTCTATGTGCGAATTCATGACAAAAATTCCTTTTTTTTGTTGATCTTGTATTGCTGATAATTACAATTTCTCTCTATCTTCTTTAGTTTTTGCCCAAAACACAAAAAAGGGTAAACAAAATTTGTCATTTCTGGACAATCACTTCTATAAAGAGTCAACTAACGATTTCGGAAGATTTTAACTTAATAGTAGATCTTGTCTTGTTGATCATTTTTGCTATTAAAAGTGTTTTATCAATCATTTATAGTTTTCAAAATAATAGGTAAAAATGCCCCAAAAAAATGGTAAAATCGTCATTTAAAGAACAAGAACTCCAATAAGGAATTAACTGACTATTCCGAATATGTTTACTTATTTGTAGATCTTGTCTTGTTGATCATTTCTGTCATTTAAAGTGTACATCTACCTATTATAGTTTTCTGAATGATACAGTCTTACATCCAAACCCTTCAGAGTGAAAATTTCATATCTTCTCTCAATTATTAAATGGTTAATTAAAGCTGTAAATCTGTCAACTGATGCTGATAAGGGACAGATAATATTACTTAAGAAACAGATGTTTAAAACAAACAAATGATTTGTAATAACAGTAGAGATAATAATACACAATGTGTCCAGTTTCTGATATTACCATTCCAGGACAGGAACAATGAAATGAATTGAAATTTTGATTATTTTAACATTTTTATAACTAATCATGGAAATTAAATATTAAAAAGGATGAAGGAAAGTTTGTGATGTTATATTTCCCTACACATTAAAAAAAAATTGAAATTTTTATTTGTCTTCCTATAAATTTTAATTTGTATTACATGTTTACATTTGTAATTAACTAAATATTCACATTTTTATTTATTATCAATTCATTCATGCAACAATTACCGTCAATTAACAAGAAAACTAAACATGTATGTAATATTCATCAACTAACAAAATTATAATTGGAGTGACACATTTATTTGAAAATTTTGTGTTTTCTAAGTGGTGTTGGTGATAAGCTGATTTTCCTTCTAACATCATTTGAATGCGAATTCTTGGGCATAGTTGTAGGACTGGATAGGCAAAAATTGCAATAACTACAATCAGGAGTCCACAGACGATTTCAGCCATGTTGACATATTTGTAGATCTTGTCTTGCTGATCATTTTTTCTAGTCGAGTTTCACTCTATCTATTATAGTTTTCAAGATAATAGGTAACAAGAGGCTGTCAGAGTAACAGCAAACCGGATATTCCTGCAGAGGTCGAACCCTGAACAGTTGAGCAGTATGGACACAACATTTAAGCTTAAAACAGCTCTAAATTTGGATTGTGATTGAATATTTGACACAGCATAGGTTTGTGACACAAAATGAATGTGGTCAAGGAACTGAAAATTTTGAAATTGGACATTTACCTATTATGGTCTAATTTCAAAAATCTAAGTACATTGTTAGAATCAGCATATCAAAGAACCCCAAGAATTAAATTTTTGAATTGTTGATGAAATCAAACAAAAGTTTAATTTAGGACCCTTTGTACCTCAATGGGGTATTATCTAATTAATAATGAAAATAAATACAGGTTAAGATTCAGCTTTTCAAAGAACCCTATATATATATTCAATTTATGTTAAAATCAAACACAGTATAATTTTGGACCCCGATTTGGACCAACTTGAAAACTGGGCCCAAAATCAGAAATGTAAATATATGTTTATTGATAGACAAACTAAGCTTAGTTTTTAAGTTTTTAAAGGAGTTTGCTTCATCAAAAAAAAATTTATATATAGCATTCAGAAAATAAGTTTATACAGAATAATAAACAAACCAACCACAAAATTCTTCAAACGATTTACGAAAGAAAAGATGAAAAAAAATCCAAAATGTCATTTATCATCCATACAATATCTATTAAAAATCTATAAAACTTATCTGTAATTATCTTCAAAATGTCGAATAATGAACAGCAAATTTCAAACTTTATTTATACTGTCCTTCAGATCTTATCATCAACACTTAGGAAACAGAAAATTTTCAAATAAATCTGTCACTCCAATAATAATTGTGTGATAAGATATTTACCAGATATTTTGTTATCTATTAACTGGTGAAAATTATTTAAAAACGCTAAGTGTAATCAAACTATATATATACGATTAATAGTTCCCAATATTTTTTCTTTCATTTGTCATAAACTAATATAGATCTGCAACTTATCTATCTAGGTCAACAATTTTATCTACATAATGTAATGTAATGAAATATATTTTTAAATAAAAATAGATTATTATCTAATGAAAATGATATTTGCAAATCACAATTTCTGTTCAAAGGAAAATAACTCAATCATATACTAAGTAATAAGTATATATTTGGACTTCTAAAAAGTCGAAAACTCAAAAAAGAGAGACGCTTAAATCGTGAAAATTGAACTTGACCTTCATTTAGTCACAGGAAACAATATATCAAAATTCGAAAAAAAATCGTCAAAGCGTTTGACTGTTAATGAACGGACACTTTTTGGCAGCCGCCCGCCCGCTGTACATCCCCAAAGCAATAACCGATTTTTTTCTTCGAAAATCCGGTTAAAAATGAAAAAACAAATCGTAAAATTCATCTTTTAAGGACAATAACTACTATAAAAGTCGTCTGACAGTTTTGATGTAAATGGATGTAAATGTAGGTTGGTGAAGGCCGTACAGTGACCTATAGTTGTTAACTTCTATGTCATTTGGTCTCTGGTGGAGAGTTGTCTCAATGGCAATTATACCACATCTTCTTTATTTTATATATAAAAGGTAGATCGCAACATTCTGAAAACGAAACGTTTCTGCTCCTTTCTCTTTTTGTAGCAAGTTTTTTTAAATAGTAGACAAAACTTGCTTTTAACCCCATGTTCTATTTTTAACCATGTCTGCCATGCTGGTTGGCAGGCGGGGTCATCAGACTAATTTCTAAACTGGATACTCTAATGATGATTGTGGCTACATTTGGTTAAATTTTGCTAAGTAGTTTCAGAGGAGAAGAGTTTTGTAAAAGTTAAAGTACAATGACGGAAGACAAGTGATGAGAAAAGCTCACTTGCATGGCCCTTTGATGCAGGTGAGCTAAAAATGGGTGGCAAATTTGAAAACTAGATATGGACAATGCCCCCTTTCTGCTCTGCCATATGCATGAGAATAGTTCCACATATTTTAGATTCGACAAACGGTGATGTTGGCATACAACTTGAAATTGTTACGCTGTCTGTAAGACACAAATGATGCCCCCGCCTGACCAAAAAAATTACTAAGTCAAACTACCTGTCATTTTCAGAATATTTGAAAAAAAAATCAAAATCCTGTGGCCATGCACACTTCTATTATGTGTTTGAACATCCTACAAAATATTAAAGCTGTATCTCCAAAACTGTAGGAGGAGATAGCCGGACAAACCATGATCTCTTTATGCAGCTTGTGCCAAAAAAATGACTGAGTCCAACTACCTGTCATTTTCAGAATATTTTAAAGAAATCAAAATCCTTTGGCCATGCACACCTCTATCATGTGTATGAACATCCTACAAAATATTAAAGCTGTCCCTTAAAAACTGTAGGAGGAGATAGCCGGACAAACCATGATCTCGTTATGCAGCTAGTACAAAAATAATGACTAAGCCCAACTACCTTTCATTTTCAGAATATTTGAAAAAAAATCAAAATCCTGTGGCCATGCACACCTTCATTTATGTATAAACATCCTATAAAATATTAAAGTTGTACCTCCAAAACTGTAGGAGGGGATAGACGGACAAACAATGTATCCTAATCCGGACGGACGAACGGACGCACAGAACAGAAAACATAATGCCCCTACTACTATCGTAGCTGGGGCATACAAATAATTGATCAAGGCTGATTTTTCAACACATCCAATACATGTACAAGAAATGAGAGTGCTTACAATGCAATTTACAGAGTGCTTACAATGCAATTTACAATTGATATGTATTTCCAACTCCTTTCGAAATAGTTGATCAGCACTGATTTTTGAACTCATCCAAGACACTGCTGATATAATCCTATGATAAAAAGGAGAATGGCCAAAAATTCGTCAAAATTATTATTTTCTTCATTAGAGGTCACATTTATGGCATCATAATAGCTTTAATGCGTCAGCACTTGTTGAATTTGTTTGTCAGATATTTTTACATATTTTGTGATCAAATTTTTGATTTGTATTACTAAACTTTAAACTTCACAGAATGTTAGGGCCAATATGGACCCTTCATGAACCTACTCCTTGCATCAAAATCTGGCAAGAATTGTATGCTAACAAGCCTTTCAGATGGATATCTGGTATTTCTATGTCCCATGCACTGCTTGACAGCAAGGAACAATAAGGAGATGTGATATGATTGGCAATGAGACAACTTTCAACCCAAGACCATGAGGTGAGGATATAAACAACTATAGTGCATTGTACAGTCTTCAACAATGAACGAGAAAAGTGTTTACAAAATGTGATAGTATTCAAAGAGAAAAACAATGGCCTACACAATGCTTAAAATAGCAAATTAATTAGAACAAATACGGCTGACAGCAACCATTGAAAACACTGAATAGCAGGCTCCTGACTTGGGACAGGCACATAAAGACAAGTTAAAATGATTCTTTTATTCATAACAGATCATTAAAATTGTGTAGATGATAGTTTCCATTAGACCTTTAGATCTTTAAGTTTTGCAATTGATAAGATGCTTAATTCCAGAAGTCAATCAAAAATTGTAATAAAATCTGACATCATATCTTCAACATACATATAAATTTTTCCAAAATATTTAAAATACTGTAAGTTTAGAATTATTCCAAGTTTTTTATTAATGCGAATAATTCGAAACCTTGAGTATCCCAATAATAAGAACTTGCATTCTGCTATCTTGTACATATATCCGTATGGAGCTTTTCCTAAAATAGCAATAATTAAATTTGCATTTTTGTTTATTCTTCAAAAATCGCAATAATAAATACATGCAATAATTTCTGCTTTTACAGAAAAAAGAGTTTTGTCTTTTCACCTTAAATCTTAAATATACATTATAACTTTTATTTAATGTGGAAAGAGGTTGGTCTTGATTCATTCAACTATTATTTGAACCAGTCAAACTTTTATGAAATATTGATATATGAAAATTAAACTATTTATTTTTTTACCTATAATGATCAGCACATTAGATTCCAATAAAAATAAATCCATGTTTATATAAAAGAGTCAAATCTATGTCCTTTCCGCAGATCTGTGTTCAGTGACGTCATGGCACTCAAATCGGTGGCCCTTTGTTCAGCCTCAAAGGTGTGTCCTTTCCTCAGATTTGTGTCCCTTGATGTCAGTGCACTCAAATCTATGGCCAATCGTTTACTCAAATCCATGTCCTTTTATTATAGCAGACTTTCAGTAATGTTATGCGACTTGGGCCAGGCACATATATAATGTGACGACGTTAAAGCATTCAAATCCCATAGTTTAACATGCTTGAACTTTTGAATAACCTTAACTGATAGCTATTTAATTTGAATGAAAAAGTAGTTTTGATGTCTTTGACAACAAAACATTTTCCTGGAAGACGTTTTGATAATTCTAACGTCATCACATAACTTAGGTGAACAGGACACAGATTTGAGAAAAGAAAGGAAACAGATTTGTGATGTCTATGATGCAATATAGGATTGGACACAGATTTGAGGCTGGACATATATTTGACTCTTAGGAACTAATAGAAAATATAAATGGTAGTATCTTAAATGGTTCTTCAAATAACCGACGTTAAAAACAATTAGAAAAAAACAATGGGCCAAAAAAATATTATAATAAAAAATAACATCCTTTCTTTCCTAAGAAACTACAAAAAAAAAATTGAAACTAATAATCAAATATGTCAATTTTACTTTTAAAGCATACTACACACATTTTAACTTTCACTATTTTAGTTAACTTCAAAATTATTTAAGAAAAAGGAAAAAATAACATCCTTCCAAAAACTCAAATCATAGACTATTCTTAAAATATCTATAGGATAATTATTTTCATGACTACAAACAGAAAATAAAAATATACTTCTACATGAGATGAGACATATTGTTAATTCAAAGACAGAAAAAATCTGAGTATATGTTTGGTTAATTATCTTCACAGTATTAAACTATATGACTTAAAATATATTGTACAACACAACATTAATTGATTATTCTTATTAAATTGTGGTAGTTTGATCAATTGATTATTGGATGATAACAATATATTAAGTACATGTAATTAAAAAATGATGAATGGTGAGGGCAATTAATTTTTCTTGCAGATTTTGGCAAATTGGTTATTTTCAACAATTTCACATATGTGCAACTTGTGTGTATACAAAATACTGTTATATTTTCCCAATTAAAAACAAAACAATTATGTTTTCCCTCACCAAAATGGTACACCCCTCCCCCAAAACAAAACCCAACCAAAAACCAACACTATATGTAAGTAGTTGTCCAATTCATACAAATAATATCAAGAGTAAATACAACAATTATGCCATGCATATCATACACTAAATACAACAAAATATATCATGTAAAATATTATCAACAAAAGCAGTTCAAAAGCTCAACAATAACTTTCATCGTCTTGGTCCCTGGTCTTGATCTAACAAAATGCACCAATGATATATCTTTATTACAAAAATGGCACCATCTTTAGGAATGGTTAAAAGCATGAGTCAATTTAAAGAAAAAAAAAATGATTACAACAAAAACCATACTTGTTCTATATCTATTTTTTTTCTAGTATTAGAATCTTTACTATTTTTTTTCTGTCAAAATTCCAATTATGAACATATATTAAATTATTGTAGTAAATAAACCATTTTGTAAGATGTTTGGGCCACTGGCCTTCTTTAGTTTCTTTATTATCACTCTTAACTACATGGTAGACATTTTACTTTCACAATCATTAAGATTACAATCATTAAGATTATCTATAACATCTTAATGATTGTGAAAGTAAAATGTCTACCATGTAGTTAAGAATGATAATAAAAGAAACTGAAGAAGGCCAGTGGCAACAACGTCTTACAAAATGGTTTATTTACTACAATAATATGTTAATTTCAACAAGACTTTTTGAAAAGTATCAAATGGAGAAAGGAGAATTGCTTTATAGATGAAACTCATGTAAATCTAAACATAGATTAACAAGTTTCCTTCATATGGATACAGTGAAATAACAGCAGCAAGTCACAATATGAAGCTTTGTGTTGAGTGAGCATAGCAAAAAATTTTCTTCATATTGTGTTAAGAACTGATATTTAAAAATATTAATATGATGTAAATATGCTTATCCATTTATCAGATTGTATTATTTTGTTTTTCATAATAGAAAAAAAGAATAACAAAAATAAAGGGAAGTTCATAAAAACTGACAAAATCAAACTTTATCACAAGTGAAAAACAACCGTCATATTCCAGACTTGGTACGGGCATTTTCCGAAGGAAGTGGTGGGTTAAACCTGGTTTTATAGCTAGCTATGAAACGCCCCACTTGTATGGCAGTTGTTTATAGTTCTGTTATAATAATAAAATTGGGTGAGAACCCAAACAGACATAATTGGTTAATGTTACAATAATTGAGATCCAGCATCCAAAACTGTGTAAACATACTTCACAGACATACAACACAACTGACTAAAAAATTCAAACAAAATCCACATCCACTCTTTGTTTTTGTTAGATGTATTTCTATTTGTATCCATCTGATGAGTTAAGCCTTTTTCAACATATTTTTATAGTTTGTTCTTATGTTGTACTGTTACACCACTGTCCAAGGTTAGGGGAGGGTTGGCACCTTCAAACGAGTTTAAATCCCCGCCACATTCTGTACGTGCCTGTCCCAAGTCAGGAGCCTGTAATTCAGTGGTTGTAATTTGTTGCTGTGTAACATATTTGTTTTTGTTCATTATTTTGTAAATAAATAAGGCCATTAGTTTTCTCATTTGAATTGTTTTACATTTGTCATTTTGTGACCTTTTATAGCTGAATATGCAGTATGGGCTTTGCTCATTGTTGAAGCCGTACAGTGACCTTTAGTTGTTAATTTCTGTGTCATTTGGTCTCTTGTGGAGAGTTGTCTCATTGGCAATCATACCAAATCTTCTTATTCTTATATACAAATAAATCTAACAAAGACTCCAATAAAAAAGGTGTTGTAGTTGATAGTAAATTTTACAAAGACACCAACTAAAAAGTTTTTGTCTTTGAAACAATATTTTTTCTTCATTTCACCAGCAAACCTGGTTTTATAGCTAGCTAAACCTACAACTTGTATGGCAGTTGTTTATAGTTCATTTATATTGAGAAAAATTAGATGAGTAACCCAAGCAGACATAATAGGTTAATGTGACAATAGTTGGGATCCAGCAGTCAAAACTGTGTAAACATACTTCACAGACATACAACACAACTGACTTAAAAATTCAAACAAACATACAAATAAATCTAACAAAGACTCCAATAAGAAAGGTGTTCTAGTTGATAGTGAATTTGACAAAGATGGCAACAAAAGTTTTTGTCGATGAAACATTATTTTTTCTTTATTTCACCAGCACACCAGAAGAGGATTTGATAAGTTTGGGTCAAACTTATCAACGCCATGTCAAACATTATGATGTTGTCGATAATTCAGGTCAAAGTTAATAAGATAAATATAAGAAAATGTGGTATAATTGCCAATGAGACAACTATCCACATGAGACCAAACATGTAAGGAACTATACGTCCTTTTTGTTTTTTAAAAGCTGTGAAATATGTGCTAATTTTTTAGCAGAGTGATACATGGACAGGAAAGATCAACAAGATTTAGTTATCAGAGTCAACCGGTTTCTCCAGAGCAAATTTAATTTCAATATCTTACGATAACTGTAAAAAATGTGATAGACAAAATGCAAAATTAAACCACCAGACAAAAAAATAAAATGAATCATAAAACATGTATGGTTTTGGTTGTAATAGAAACAAAATGCATGGATGCATATACATATCAGTGCAGTCAACTGACATATTTTCAATTATTTTTCAATGTTGGAACTTGGACCCATTACAGATTAACAACTATATATTAACTTATGATAACTTTAAATCTATCTTCAGAAAGGTAAAATAAATGATCAAAAATTAATAAAATAGATAAAAATATATTAAATGGATTTCATTTACAAGAAGATATCATCACAACTAATTTCGTTAAGTAAAAACCTGTAAAAAAAACCACAAACACATATTTGATGCAAACCATTCAAATAACTATTTTGGATTTTTTTACTTTCTGAAAGTTAAGTTTTTTTATGCTAAGCAAAATTTGAATTTCTTCATGTTTCATCACTAAAAAAATTTAAAATTTCTGAATTGAAATGATGTGCACAGTCTCATAAAAACTAACATTTTTGCTAGGAACAGTTTCCCACACACATTATTACAAGAAAGAGTTTGGGTAGCATGTCTATGTAACAAATTAACTCATTATTGCAATGGAATACTATCAACAAAGATCAGAAAAAATCAAAAGAAGCACGATTATGCTAAACAAATATCGTTGTATCATTCATATTCATACATATATGGCCATGCGAGATTAATTCTCAGGTCATTGTAAGCCTACCAAAAATTGAATTTAATAGACAAAATGGTTGTAAAATCATCAGCAGTATATTATTTTTTGTGTACATTAAAATAAGAAATATAAAAACTAGATGCAAACAAAAATGTTAGTAAGTAATACCTTTCTGCCTCATCAGAATCAAAGTTGTGATTAATTGTAAAATGTGTGCAGTATCAGCTGATCAAAAACACAAATAATTCCAACCTATATGATATACATTTACAGGCAACTGATAAATATGTCAAATATCATTATCAGTTATTTGTATGTTGTGAAAATTTGGCAACCACTTTAGATTTTAAAATTTGTTTTGTGTTTCTTATATCTAGCAATAATAAAAATGTTTCATATAGGTTTTGCGTAGTTTAATTTGCACAAATGAGCAGTTGCTGCAAAACATGCAAAAATAAAACAATCACAAATATCAACATAAAAAATTCAAAATGTTTAGTTGTTTCAACTATTTGCCTCAATCTCAGATGGCTAAAAAACTTTACTGTAATGAGTTTTAAATCTACAAAAATGTAAAAATTAGAGAGTATGTTTACAAATTATTATGCATATAATTGAATGTAAACAAAAATATAAATAAGTAGTATTTTATAACAATTTAATATCATAGTTTTAATTTTACATCATAATTAGTTTTATAATAAATACACACTTATTTTTTTTTCAGATCTAATATATAAAAATATAATGGGTCAATTTAAATGAAAGAAATTTCATTGGCCGATTCCTTCTGTAGTAAAAGGCTTGAGTATCACAAAAAAAAAATGCCCATAATCCAGGGACCTTTAAGCTAAATTCTTGGAGCTACCATGGCTCAATAATTCAAATACTACTCAAAACAAATGAAACTGATTTGTTTACACTTCAATTTCTACTAAGTTTCTAGGTAGGAAAATATTATAAGTTAAAAAAAAAATTCACTAAATGCTGGGAATTTCTTTAGATTCAGTATACAATATAAGTGTAAATAAATAATACATAAAAAATAAAGAAAATAAAAATCACCAGGATTTCTGTCAGATCTTGGATTCAATTATATTTATAGCAGAACCTATTCATGTGCCAACCAATTTCCTCGCAAGCAGTCAATTCTATTTTAATCTTATCAAAAGCTTTTAAAAATTTGATGGTGTTTTTAAACCAAAATTCCTCTTGGTAATCTCAGATAAATTGAAGGTAAGATACTTGACACAAATGGTGTCTAGTAAACAGTATTGATTTCAACACTTAACAACAGTTTTAATAACTTACAATAAGTTTAAATTAAATTTGGTTGCTAGAAAATGGGTTGACCCAAAAATTATATCTGCTATAATACTCCTCCCCCCAAAAAAAATCTCATATGTGCTACTTACTAAGTTTTCTGTACTAGGGAGCAGACTGATGCAATGAGGGCATTTTTGGAATAATCCTTTACAAAACAATTGTACTTTGAATGTGCATCTGAAGTGTTGCGAGAATATTTCTTTTCATGTTTGATGATAGGAATTTTGAATTTCTGATGAATGACTTTCATTAGAAGTTTGGAAAAAAAAAATCAAAGTATAAAAAAGGGAGATAATTTGTTCATGGCACCTTTTAACGAAGCAACATGATGCCTTAAGTATAACAAAGCAGTATGCTTTTGAAATAATGCATTTCTTGATGTTTTGGGCCCATTTTAACATATGATTTAGATACTTCATGGTCAATATAAAAATGGTTATATAAATATATAAGACATAACATATGCATAATTGATTTTCACAAATACACATACACTTACTATAACAGTGAATATTTGTAGGTACAGTACAAATACAAGAATAAACATTTGCCATATATAAAGTTAGACATAACTCTATACAAACATCTTTTTGCCAAAATCTATCCATTAAAAAAAAAATAAATATCAAATATCATATGGATTTCTAGAAATTGTGTTGACAGATAAATAAAGAAAAGTAGAAATTTCAAAAAGATTTTAAAGTACAAATATTCAAAATATCTTGTTAATTTCAACTTAAAAATATCATAATAAAAATATACCGGTAAACAAGACAAGTAGTCAAGGCACATACATATTATATATAGACACATCACAATTTGCTATAATACATGTTAACAAATCACAAACATTGAGCAAGGAATGTACATGAAGTCAATATTTATTAAATTATTAATGAGACAATAAGAAATATGCTGGATTCAGCATCATGACACAATTGTTAAGTAAGGGGGTCTGGAAGGCGTGTCCTTCATTTTTGTAGACTATCTTTCTCTATTCTTTATCTATTTCGCCCATTATTCTCTATTCTTTATATTTAAGCACCCCAATATTCTCTATTCTTTATTTTTTTTGCCCTTTATTCTGCACTTTTTGCCCATTATTCTCTATTCTGTAAACCCAATCCAGACCCTCATGTAAAAAAGTCACAAAGTATGGCATAACATATAGATATTTCATTGCAGCTGAGGAAAGCCAGTCCTTACTGTACACACAAGGAACCCAATTCTTCAGTAAGACCAAGGCTGAGGGATATCTGTTTTCCTGTGCAGGAGGTATAAATAAAGCCAATTCAGTATGAAATGGGGACTAGATAAATCTGATGCCCTGGGCTGTGATTTTGCAATACTGTCTGAAGGTAAAAGACCTTGCAATGATTTTATAAGAGAACCGTAGGTTACCTATTGTAAGGCCAAATTTCTAAAATCAATTTAAAATATGACAATTTTGTTGCAAATAATGCCCTTTTTCGGGAAGACTGGGAGTCAAATGTCTAAGCAATCTAGATTTCAACAACTAATATTTAAAAAAAAATATTCTTATTGTTTGCATAAAAAATATAAAAATATGGCTTTTGCTGAAATAGATTAACCAAATTCACTATCACTTTCTAATTTCAACTTCATAGTTCATTAAAATTCCACATCAAAATGCATGATTTTTTTAAAAAAAAGTCACTTTTGGTCCCTTTTACTTTTTTTAACAAATTACCAAATGTAAGAAGCTTTAACATCAAACTTAAGCTACAATTTCTATTAATGTTATCTAGCTGAAATGTCATATAAAATTACAACAATAAAAATTAATATATGTACAGTTTGTTCTATTTGTAATATATTTTCAAGTTAGTTCTATTTGTTATATATGTACATTACATTCTCATACTATATATGTATTTGTCAAACATAGAATTAGAAACATTTGCATTGATTATTTTGATAGCACTAAAATTAAAATATGTATCCAAATAAATATGACATTTAGACAACAGTCACTTCAATATAAAAATAAGGAGATGAGGTATGATTACCAATGAGACAACTATCTATCAAAGTTCAAATGAAGTAGATGTAAGCAATGCTATTATAACATTCATTTCTGAATATACATTGTACAAATAAGGTTTATCATGCATTACATTTCTGACTGTAATGTACATTGATTAACACAAAAATTATGATATATTTTTTATAAAGAATCTCATTTTGTATTTTGATTTGAAGAAATACTGCTAAAAATGTAAAACAAATTTTGTTGTTGATAAAAATCAAGGATTTCACTAAATGAGGTAAATATTTCAATATATGTTTGATTGTCATAGTATGACTCAGTAGGTTTGATAACAACAACTGATTCTAAAAAAGAAAGAAAAACATAAGTTGATTCACGGAAAGCATGTTATTGGATGAAAACTTTTATCAATAGATCCTTAAAGCATTGTCTAATTTTACAGCAATTAAATAAGACAAAAGCTCATGGATTCAGATTGGTTTATTATCAAAACATCTAATAATTTAAGTATTTTTAAATGTTCCTATGTTCATCACATTAAACATTATTTTATCAGTGGTATTGCATTTTCTACATTTTCTTTTCATTGAATTAAAAAAAATGAGAAAAAATCAAACTGGAAAATCTCTTCTCTTTTGAAAATTTATAGTGTATTAAATGCAGACTTGAATTTATGACAAAAATAAGGTGTTTCCTTGTTAAGTAAAATTCAATTCAACTGGCTTGATTATGGTTTGAATAATGAATGGGAAAATGTAATATTTTCGCCCCTGAAAAAGTTTAAGTATTCATAACAGCTTTTCTATCAAAAAAAAGAAGAAAAAAAACCTAAAAAAAGTTTTAATTTATAATTGGTGTTGCACCTTTTGTGAAAGTAACATTTCCACAATTTATCTTTCATATTATAAGTTCTTATCTGCCCTTAGCCATTCACACAGTAAATTTCAGGATTTCACATTTTGCCATTTAAGCTCTATTTTCTTCCTCTGGTTCTTTATATTTCTTATTCTTTTTTGACAATAATTTCTGCAATCCTTTACCCATACGATATGGCCTATCTTCGCCATTGTTCACTTCCAAGTCTTCCACTATAAGATAAAAGATATTATTGTTTTTGATAAAAGTCTGTGAAATTTGTAAAAAAATAAAAATTTTGACAAAGTAAAACAAGAACTGCATGAAAAGTTTGACATTTCCAGCAGTGTATTTTTTTAAGATGTTGTGTTTTGGAATAAAGCACTAGTATTATTTAAGACAGTCTTCTTCTAATAGAAGATTCTTGACTAATTAACAAATATCATTACAAAATCTATTTATTGAAACTAGGTGTTTCTATGTGTTGAAAAGTTAAAATAAAATTTGTTCAACTTGTTCCATGAATGTTATCCAAGATGAGTTTCATTTTATACTTCAATATCCAAAACATATTCAATTATCTAAACAACTTATTAACTAACATTATTGCTTTTATATCAGTTGAACTTTTGAAAGCTCATAAAAAATCTAAAATCATTAGGGAACAAACCATTTTTTTTTCTGAAAGGGAGGGCTGGGATTATTATGTTCTATTAGCGAAATTTCCTCCTTCAAAAAAAAAAAAAACTAAAAAAGGGAAAATTGGAAAATGAAAGATTCTAAAATTCTGGTAAAAGGGGAACCACACAATAACTTCAAAAACAAATCCAACATCACTCTACCAAATCCGAACAATAAAAATACTTACAGAAACATAGAAACAGTGTATCAACTGCCATGGTATATACATTGAAGAAAGTGGCTGCTATTACATATGTTCCCATTATTACAACCTGTAAAAAATAAAGTAAGATTAAACATCAGATGACAATGGAAAGCATTCATCCTCAAATTTGATATAAAAATTTGGCACATTAAAACTGGAGCCTAGTTTAGGGAAAGCAGGACTGCTTACACTTATGAATGAAAAGGCACAAAAATCAGGCCTTCCACATTTTTTTCATGCTCTTGCACAAATTTTACAGATCCAGGACTTTTTCTTCAAAAGTTAAAATCTAACAAGAAAATATATAAAATCTCACTCATTTTCAAGCACAGGTTTTACTCTGACTGATCAAACTAATCATTTGAAGACTTTTAATAAGATGCATATTCTAATTAAATTTTGTACAATTTTCAAGCGGTAGTATTGTCAGAATTGGCTAGTTTCAGTGTAAGATTGCTTTATCTAGTATTAAATATTTCCTACATGGAAAAAAACTGGCTAAAATATCTTTCCTGCCATAACATCTAGATATTGGTGTTTCAAAGGGAGAGAATATTATATCATCAACTATACCTCTGAAAGTACGTTAATGAGCCTTTTTAATAAATTGTTAGATCTTGGGTCGACTATTCAATTCATTACAGCTCTTCTATAATAAAATGCTCCGCAGGGCGCAGCTTGATACAACCGCAGAGGTCGAACCCTGAACAGTTGGGGCAAGTATGGACACAACATTCAAGCTTGATACAGCTCTGAATTTGGATTGTGATTAAATATTTGACACAGCATAGGTTTCTGACACAGAATGAATGTGGACTAAGAACTTAAAAATTTTAAATTGGACATTCACCTATTATGGTCCAATATCCAAAATCTAAATACATGGTTAGATTCAGCATATCAAAGAACCCTAAGAATTCAATTTTTGATGAAATCAAACAAAGTTTAATTTTGGACCCTTTTGACCTCAATGTGGACAAAGTTGATAACGGGGCCCAAAAATCAAAAATCTAAATACATGGTTAGATTCAGCATATCAAAGAACCCCATATATTCAATTTTTGTTGAAATCAAACAAAGTTTAATTTTGGACCCCGATTTGGACCAACTTGAAAATTAGGCCCATAATCAAAAATATAAATACATGTTTAGATTCAGCATATCAAAGAACCCTAAAAATTCAATTTTTGTTAAAATTAAACTAAGTTTAATTTTGGACCCTTTGGACCTTAATGTAGACCAATTTGAAAACGGAACCAAAAATTAAGAATCTAAATACACGTTTAGATTCAGCATATCAAACAACCCCAATAATTCAATTTTTGATGAAATCAAACAAAGTTAAATTTTGGACCCTTTGGACCTCAATGTGGACCAATTAAAAAACGGGTCCCAAAATCCAAAAACTTAATACACAGTTAGATTCAGCATATTAAAGAACCCCAAGAATTCAAGAATAAAACCCCATTAAAATTGATCAAGAAATAAGCAATTTATACGAAGTATCTTCTTTTGCACAATACTGTGCAATTGAATATTTCTTGCTATTGCACAATACTGTACAATTGACAATTTCTTGCTATTGCGCAATATTGTGCTATTGGATATTTCTTGCTATTGCGCAATACTGTGCAATTGAAGATTTCTTGCTATTGCGCAATACTGTGCAATTGAAGATTTCTTGCTATTGTGCAATACTGTGCTATTGAAAATTTCTTGCTATTGCACAATACTTATTACATAATAATTTACACATCCTGTTTGGTGTGTATCTCCTACCATATCATTATTATTTGCTTTTAAATATAAATCAGAAATAACCAACTTAAAATGGAAAATTTTAAAAGAAAAAAAAAAGGAAAAAAAGAAAAGAAAAAAATCCCCCCCCCCAAATTTTTTGAACCCCCTCATGATTCATCACCCCCAAACTCAATCCCAGCCTTCCCTTTGTGGTATGGTACCTTGCAGTACAATTTCAGAGAGATCCATACACTTGAACACAAGTTATTGTCTGGAAACTAGAAAAATGCTTATTTTTGGCCCCTTTTTGGCCCCCAATTCCTAAACGTTTCGGGCAATTACCCCCAAACTCAATTCCAGCTTTCCCTTTGTGATATGGAACCTTGTAGTACAATTTCAGAAATATCCAAACACTTACACACAAGTTATTGTCATGAAACTAGAAAAATGCTTGTTTTTTGCCCCTTTTTTGGCCCCTTATTCCTAAAATTTTGAGGCAATTACCCCCAAAATCAATTACAGCCTTCCCTTTGTGATATGGAACCTTGTGGTACAATGTCAGAGAGATCCATACACTTACACACAAGTTATTGTCTGGAAGTTACAAAAATGCTTATTTTTGGCCCCTTTTTGGCCCCTAATTCTTTAACTGTTGGTACCATAACCCCCAAAATCAATCCCAGCCTTCCTTTCGTGGTATTAAACCTTATGGTAAAATTTCATGGAGATCCATTCACTTAAACTAAAGTTAGAGTGCGAAAACCAATGTGTCTTCGGACGACGCCGGACGACGCCAGATGACGACGACGACAACGACGCCAACGTCATACCAATATACGACCAAAAAATTTTTAATTTTTGCGGTCGTATAAAAACATGTAAAGCAAACCTTTGATCAACTTGCTTACTATGTTTGTTTGGATGTTTGTAAACAAAAGGTAGGTAGTCTGTTTCAGTCTGTTTACTATATAGCTATATACTGGAATTTGATTGGACAATAAACATTAACTTCATTGTATGTCAATTTTTATTGTCTAATCAAATTCCAGTATATACAAAACAGACTGAAACTCCGCCTTCCTATTGTTTGCAAACATCCAATTAAACATAGCAAGCAAAGGTTTGCTTTGCATGCTTTTATAGAAGAGCTGTAACAACCTGCCTAAACTAACTAAAACCTACCTGGAAGTTAATTCAAAGCTCTCCATATAGTTGGACATTTGATTATAATTGAAGGCCATGTTATAACCCCTACATACATGTATGTGTAGCTGGTTTCCTGTTTGATATCCATTTGCCCCACATTGCCTTTCTTTCATATTCACACATTTTATGAAGCTTTATTTCTAATTATCTTGAAGTAGTACACAACAACCAAGCATATCAGTTAAAACTGATCGGTCTTTACTTACTATGACTGGTACCAGATAATAATTAAGCTTAGGGAGATAATCTGTAAAGAAATCAACTTTGCCTTGGAACCAGAAGTATGCACCCACACCTGAAAGATATAAAACAATTCGATATATGCATGTCAACACAGAAATTACACTGTTGTAGTTTTGGATGAATATGGAAGTAGATGTTCAGCTATTCCTACTGTTTTTATCAAAGTTTAAATATGTGTGCTAATAATATTGGGGTCATAGTACAGTGCATGCCTCTTTATATATGGCATGTGGAAAAACAGGTAAAAAGTGTTGTAATCAATGCATTAACTTGAGTTTAATCAAAAGTTTTAACTGGAATTTTGGTTTCCTGTTTTACCCAGAATTTAGTGTTTTTTTTTCTTTAAAGAACTACTGTATTGACATATAACAACAACCAAGTATATCAGTTAAAACTGATTGATCTTTACTTACTATGACTGGTACCAGATAATAATAAAGCTTAGGGAGATAATCTGTAAAGAAATCAACTTTGCCTTGGAACTAAAAAAATTTTAGTTTTTTTAGTATTTTAGTTTTTTCAGTATTTTAGTTTTAGTTTTTTGTGACCACCAGTTTGCTGATAACAGTACATAATCTATGACTTTATCAAGAACCATTCTTCTTCTTATAACAATTAAAAATTAGTCAGATCCCTTCAAAAGTTTTAATTTTTTTTAATAACAGTAATGCACATAGAGTGTATGCTAGGTTTAATCTTGTATATCATGAGGTGTATTTTATAGTGTCTAATTTTTTTGTCTCTTTTCTCTCTCATTACATAACCTACCAACACCAGCTGTGACCACCAGTTTGCTGATAAACAATACATAATCTGTGACTTTGTCAAGAACCATGGCCCTGTAATAGAGTAAAACTTACTCAGGCTTACATAGGAATAACAAATACCCTTTTGATATATTCCATAAAAACCAATAGATTACACAGTTGAAACTGAAAACAATTTCTTGATCCTACAATAGACTATTTTCATATTACAGACTTTTGACTCCTTTCAGGCCAAGTGAGCTAAAGAAGGCAGGTTTAATCAAGTTACATTTTAAGTGCCTGTTCCAATTCAGGAACCTCACCAGTGTTTATCTTAATGTTTTTAGTTTTTGGGAAAATTTGTTGTTAGTGATAGATCTTTGATAATCAGTATGAGTTAAATCTATTGATAAAGATGTATGGCCTTTTGTCCCACTGTTAAGTTATTAAAATTTATTCGCAACTTTTATTTTATTTGGGGTGTTTAGAGAGGGTGGTAAAGGGTTATTTTCGTGCAACGTGTTTTACCATTTTTATTTCACATGCAGCCGTGAAAAAGGTTCGTTTTATCACGGTGTTTCATGAAATCGGTAAAAAGATCAACGTGCAAGAAATTTTAAATTGTTTGTTCATTGTGAAATGGCAATTTTATTTTGCAATCTTCCGTGCAGATACCCCCCTTTACGCCCCTCTTTAGAGCTTGACATGTTGTAGTCACTTAAGGACAATATGTTGACCTCTAGATGTCTTTTTGGTTTTTTGCATCATTGGGTTGCTGTCTCATTGACATATACTCTCAACATCTTTATTTATTCACATTTGTGTAACAAGTTGATATTACAATTAGAATAGTAATTATGATAATGATCTGTTATCAATAAGAAATGAAAATATAATGAAACTGTTGTATATCCATTTCTAAATAATCAAATAACTAACTAATCCAACCATATGCAAAAGTAATCAGTTGTCTCAGCATGGAAAATAAACTGCTTCGCTGAGCGCAGCTGGATATGCCCGCAGAGGTCTAACCCTGAACAGTTGGGGCAAACATGGACACGATATTCAAGCTTGATACAGGTCTGAATTTGGATTGTAATTAAATATTTGACATACATCTATTATAGGTTCCTGAATAAATGTAGTCAAAGAACTTGAAGTTGGTTATATGAATTGAATTTATATTCAATTAAAGATTTCTTGCTGTTGTGCAATACACTGTGCTGTTGTGCAATGCTTAGTAAATCTGTTGTCAGACTATAAACAAATAAAATTTATAAAATTCTAAAGGGAGCTTACATCAATATATATAAACAGTTTATCAAAGTTTCATACGAATTGCTGAAAGCATTTTTGAGTTTTTGTCTGAAAACTGGAAAATCCCCCCTTTTTTAATGAATAAACCCCATAATTCAGAAATGTAAAATCTAAAATTTATAAAATTCTAAAGGGAGCTTACATCAATAGATATCAACAATTCATCAAAGTTTCATGAGAACTGCTGAAAGCATTTTTGAGTTATTGTCCGAAAACTAGAAAATCCCCCTTTTTTTTATAAATAAAACCCCATAACTCGGAAACGTAAAATCTAAAATTTATAAAAATCCAAAGGGAGCTCATGTCAATAGATATAAACAATTAACCAAAATTTCTTGCAAGTTGGTGCAAGCATTCTTGAGTTATTGTCCGAAAACTGGAAAATCCCCCTTTTTTTAATGAATAAAACCCCATAACTCGGAAACATGAAATCTAAAATTTATAAAAAACGAAAGGGAGCTCACGTCAATAGATATAAACAATTCACCAAAGTTTTATGCAAATTGGTTAAAGTGTTTTTGAGTTAATGTCCGACATGTTGACGACGGACGGACAGACGGACAACGGTATACCATAATACGTCCCATAAATGGGCGTATAAAAATGGTAAAATTTTTCCCCAAATCTTGATTTTTATTGGAAACCATTATGCATAAAATTTCCAAAAAAAATAACATTAGTGTTTACAAAGACCAATAGTTAGGTTTGGTTGTTTGCCAGTGGACCATGAAATAACTATTTCTTTGAATACAATCTACTGAAAGAGTAACAAACGCTATTACTAGCCAATCATATCACTAGACAGGTAACAAAAGGATGACTGTAAAAACTGTTTGAACCAGTTATTTAGTGCATTTTACAATAAATAATAAAGAATTCATGGTTCAACTAGCTAACAACCAATCGAACTTTACTTTTATGCACCAAGTAGGATACAAACTCAAGTAGATCAGTTGTAAGTAGTTTCAGATAAATATCTTGCCTACCTGACAACATTTCTAAATATTAAAAAGAATGCATCTTTTGCTGCAGGACAGAAACTTCTACCATATACTGCTATCTGTAAAAATACAAAATGTAGAGTTGAAACTTACAGTATGCTAAAGGCTAATCCTGGAGAAAGTTTGGAGGGTCTTCTTTCATAGGGAGAACAACTTAATTTCTGACAATAACTGTGTTTGTGTTGACACATTTATATAAATTTATCACATATATGCAATGAAAAAAAAAATGTATTTCATTTGAAATAAATTGCTTCGCCAAGCGCAGCTGGATACGACCGCAGAAGTCCAACCCTGAACAGTTGGGGCAAAAATGGACACAATATTCGCGCTTGATACAGGTCTGAATTTGGATTGTAATTAAATATTTGACACATAATAGGTTTCTGACACAGAATAACTGTAGTCAAAGAACTTAGAATTGGTTATATGATTTGAATTTATATTCAATTTTTTGCTATTGTGCAAAACAGTTTGCTGTTGCGAATTGGCTAAAATTAATATTCCTTAATAGTAACTTCTAAAAATAAATTGACAGCTAATCATCTCAAGACAATACAACATTTCTTTATACAAAATTTTAAAGCAGTGTAAGGGAGGTAATCAAAACGTTGTTTTGGGATTACCTGAGGTAATTTACCTCCCTTATACTGCTTTTAAATTGTCTTAAGTAATTGTCCATTAACCAGGAAACCCTTGTTTTTCCCCCTTTTTTGCCCCTAATTCCTAAACGGTTTGAGCCATAACCCCCCAAAGCAAATCCTAACCATCCCTTTGTGGTATGGAAACTTGTGGTATAATTTCAGAGAGATACATACACCGTTCAACAAGTTATTGTCTGGAAACTAGAAAAAATGCTTATTTGGGCCCCTTTTTTGCCCCTAATTCCTAAACTGTTAGGACCATAACCCCTCAAAATCAATCCCAACCTTCCTTTTGTGGTTATAAACCTTGAGTTTAAATTTCATAGATTTCTATTTAATTATACTAAAGTTATTGTCCGGAAACCAACTGTCTTCGGATGACGCTGACGACAACGTGATACCAATATACGACCGCAAATTTTTTTGCGGTCGTATAAAAATGGCATTCATATTTTGTGTCACCTCCAAACTAAAATTATATTTATTATTTGCTAATCACTCTTTCCTTCGCCTTTATATAATTTAAAACAATATCATATGGTATGGGTTTTGCTCATTGTTGAAAGCTGTACGGTGACCTTTAGTTGTCTACATCTCTGTCTTTTGGTTGCTGGTGGATAGGTGTCTGATTGGCAATCATACCATATTTCATTATTTTTATATTTACTTTTTATTTTATTACATTTCTTAAAATATCAACATTTTTTACTTCAAATTCTTTCAAGTCAGTGGCATTACATCAGATAACAAATTAAAATTTTTTACAACATACCAACATACAGTATTGTTATGCTACAAAGTAGTACAGTTTAACAGAATTGTGTGATCTCACTTCCTGTTCCATTTTCATAATTTTTAGGGAAAATATTATGACTGATCAATTGTTCTCTTTTCTGGCATGCAGTGGCAAATATCTTATGCATATTCAGAATGAGCACACATAAACAATATGAAAGGCAAGTTCTGAAAGTCAGGTCTATCAGTTTGAAGGGCGAGAAATTTGAACTGCCACTGGAAAATGAGGGTATGTTGGATAAGGGAAACCTAAAAGTCTCTACTGTGGTGGCAACAACAAAAAAAACCCTCTCTAATCTGTATATAATTACCATAATGTAAGCATTCCTGTTAAGAAATTTTATAAATTTCTCTAAGCACCAAAAACAGCACTTCATACACCTGTAAAAAGATATCAGTGAATTAAATCTTTTAACATGTAAATTTTCCTACAGGAGTTGATTTATAGTAAAGACCACCCCCCTAAAAAAAATCCAAAACACCCAAATTTCACATCTGATGAGTAAGCATGGCAACAAACCATTTTGTGCATCATATATAAATCAAAATGTCAAACTTGGATTTCTAAAAAGTGTATGTTGCAACTACAATTTTTAAAGTTTAAATTGGTTCCTACTTGTGGGCATCCAATTTGCAACTACTTCAGATATCATATATATGTCAATGTTTTCCCATAAACAAGCTATCAAAATTTAAACTACAGACTTTAAAGTGCCTGTGTCACTCTACTAGTGTGCATCTTCAACAAGGGACACTCTATAACATTGTATGTTATTAGATTATCGTTGGTCATCTCAACAAGATTGATTTTCTCACTTAAGACAGTACGGCGAAAGTGAGAAAAGCAATCGAGTTGAGATGACCAATGATAATCTGTTTATCGCTATTTTTCCTATGACGATGTTGATGTTTATTGGTAATTAGAATATCAAAACTCCTTGTTATCCTTTATCTTCAATTAATTAACATGTACTGCCTGAGGCACAAGGATTAAAATTTAAATCCTTGATCGTCAATAGATTAACATGTACTGCTATAGAGATGATTAAAATTTGTTTCATATGATATTTGTAAAAAAAATAAAAATCTATTTAAAAAGTGATTTAAGTATTTAAGATTTTATTTCATTTTTTCTTTCAGCTTTGAACCACAATACACGGACATATTTGCAATTGCATCCGTATGCGATTCCTTTATTAAGTTAACTTTGTCATGTTTCTAGTTTGAGAAATTCAATGATATTTTGTCAATAAACGGGTAAATAAAGGCAAATATGAATAAGCTTGCTCACTACTGTTGTTCCAAAATTAAACATATCAATTAGACGAAGCACCAAAATTACACACACCAAAATAAAACACATGCCTTTCGAGAAAAAAATGCCAAAATATCCCGACGCCAAAATTTCCCAATTTACGGTAATGGGCAAAAATGCAACAATTGGTAAAAATTGTCATTTAAGTGCAATAACTCCTATAAGAAGTTGTTTAACAGTTTTGATGTAAATGGGCAGAAGTCAGATTTCAACATTCTGAACATTTCTGTTCCTGTCAGATTTTCTCTATCTATAGTGGCGAATAGACAAAACTTGCATTTTACCCCTATGTTCTATTTTTAGCCATGTCGGCCATGTTGGTTGGCAGGCGGAGTAATCAGAAACATTTTTTAAACTAGATACTCCAATGATGTTTGTGGCATAGTCTGGTTAAATTTGGCCATAAAGATTCAGACAAGAAATTTTTCGTAAAAGTTAACGGACAACAACGACGGACACCAAGTGATGAGAATAGCTATTTAGCCCTTTGGGCCAGGTGAGGTAAAAATCTCAATTGGAACACACATCCACCATTAACAAATTGCAAAATATACTATAATATGTGCAATTTTAGTTTATATTAAAAGAGTACATGATTCTACAATGGCACTTTACTGAAGCATTGATATGTAATTTTTACAAACCAGGAAGAACTTATACTTGATTGAACTTACTTTATAAGGAACTTGGCGACTGGATTTTCTGAGTTCTTTAGCTTGGCGTCAATATATTCCAACAAAACACGAATCATTTTGATAATAGCAATGATTAAAGACCCAAATGCTAATGATCCTAAATGATACCTAAAACACAGAGAGATATTAATGTATAAAGTAATAACATATTAAAATGTAGTGTATTTAATAATAATTATTTAGGAATCTTAGATTAATAGTAGATTGTTTTATAAATATCTCCAATAGGCAATATTGTGTTTTTTTTTCTTCAAAATGTAGTATTCAAGACTGATATTTCAAATAGGCAATTTTTTTCAGAAAAGTACAGTAAATTCAGAAATTATTGTGAGCTTTTTATTAATATGAATAATGCAGCAGGGTGAGTATCGCAATAACAAGAACTCACATTCTGATATCTGTATGCAGATTTTCCTGAAATCTCAAAAATTAATCTCACATTTTTGTCCATTCCTATAAATTTGCAATAATAAATGCACACAATAATTTTTAAATTTACAGTTCAAGACTTTAGAGAAGTTTTAAAGTAATCTGAAATTTCAGAATTATGTTACAAATTGAATCTGGTAGTCCAAATTGTTTGACTTCAGTCATCAGGGTTAAGCAATGTTGCGGAGGTAAGTGAACAAACACATATGTAGCATCATAACTTACCTGAGAGATCTGTAAAAGGAAGACAAGACAGGCATATAAGGGATATCTTTGGGTTTATTGACTGCCCAGTAGTAACTTACCTAATAGATCTGTAAAATGAAGACAAGACAGGCATAGTAGGTATATCTTTGTTTATTGACCGCCCAGTAGTATCTTACCTGTTAGATCTGTAAAATGAAGACAAGACAGGCATATAAGTTAATGAAGACAAGACAGACATAGTAGGTATATCTCTATGTTTATTGACTGCCCAGTAGTATCTTACCTGTTAGATCTGTAAAATGAAGACAAGACAGGCATAGTAGTTATATCTTTATGTTTATTGACTGCCCAGTAGTAACTTACCTAATATATCTGTTAAATGAAGGCAAGACAGACATAGTAGGTATATCTCTATGTTTATTGACTGCCCAGTAGTATCTTACCTGTTAGATCTGTAAAATGAATACAAGACAGGCATAGTAGTTATATCTTTATGTTTATTGACTGCCCAGTAGTAACTTACCTAATATTTCTGTAAAATGAAGGCAAGACAGACATAGTAGGTATATCTCTATGTTTATTGACTGCCCAGTAGTATCTTACCTGTTAGATCTGTAAAATGAAGATAAGACAGGCATAGTAGTTATATCTTTGGGTTTATTGACTGCCCAGTAGTATCTTACCTGATAGATCTGTAAAATGAAGACAAGACAGGCATAGTAGGTATATCTTTGTTTATTGACTGCCCGGTAGTATCTTACCTGATAGATCTGTAAAATGAAGACAAGACAGGCATGGTAGGTATATCTTTAGGTTTATTGACTTCCAAGTTGTATCTTACCTGATAGCTAGATCTGTAAAATGAAGACAAGACAGGCATGGTAGGTATATCTTTAGGTTTATTGACTGCCCAGTAGCATCTTACCTGATAGCTAGATCTGTAAAATGAAGACAAGACAGGCATGGTAGGTATATCTTTTGGTTTATTGACTGCCCAGTAGTATCTTACCTGATAGATCTGTAAAATGAAGACAAGACAGGCATGGTAGGTATAACTTTAGGTTTATTGACTGCCCAGTAGTATCTTACCTGATAGATCTGTAAAATGAAGACAAGACTGGCATGGTAGGTATATCTTTGGATTTATTGGCTGCCCAGTAGTATGAAGCAAATGCTCCTGCCAATGTCATCTGTCCTAGAGCTATGATGAAATTCATTAACCAGAAAAACATGAACAGTAGAAACACCTCAAGTGGTATTATATATCTGAAAAATACAAAAACACCCATATATTTTCCATCTCAAGTAATATGCATAGATTATTGATGAAAATCTGAGTTTTGATTATGTTAACACTAGGAGATTTCTCTATTTTGCCGTTACAAAGAATTCAGTTTGTTAATTTGCAATTGGAAATCCTTCCATCAAATATCGAAATGAATTACAGTGATAGAAGTGTGATCATTTGATAAGTTTTACATCATATTTTCTATTAATGATAGTTTTTGCTTGACATAGTTTGAGCAAGATTTATTTCCCTTTACCACACTGTTGGAGGTCAACATGTTCACATTCCTTCATAAATCAGCCAAATTCAACTTGTAATACTGATTAAAGAAAATTTTTTTTTTTTTTTAACAATTTGAATTTGTTTAAGCCTTGCTTAATTCATCACTTCAAATGAGTAAGGATTTTTTTCTCAGGCTTGCTCAATGCTCTTCAACTTTAATACATTTTTGCTTCGAGCGTCACTGATGAGTATTGTGTAGACCAAACAAGTTTTTTGGCATACAAAATTTTAATCCTGGTATCTATGATGAGTTTATTTGCTAGTACTATGTTATTATTTGGTTAGTCAAATAATAAAATCAACCAGATTCACCAACATGACAGCCAAGGGAAATAACTCCAACCCAAATAATGTCTAATCAATACCCAACTATTTCATGGGATTTTAGTTTCATACACACAAACTTAAAATACATTTGTGAATTATGTACCAATTTTGTTAATTGCATCATAATTTTCATTATTGCATATACTCAATCAATTCTTCATAAAGAAATTACTTACTGATCTCCCCCATATTTCACAAACCCACAGAATTCTCCAAACGTTGTGTCCTAAAAAACAGATAATTTACATCTATATATTTGTGCACCATCCTGAGCAGAACAATTTTTGAATGATTATCAATAAATTAAAATATTCAGTTTGAACTGTTGGTCAATCAAGATTCAGTGGAAACTATTCCATGTATATAAATATATTTTATTTTGTTTGCAATTGAGGTTTTCCAGTTTGTTATTTGTAGGACTTACGTATAGATGGGAACTAGTATAACAAGTTCTAAAACAGTACTAGTACCGGTACTACTTTTTATAAAGTCTGATGTTAGGTGCATATGGCACAAGAAAAGTTTGGCATTTAAATGTATTAGTATCGAAGGTACTCCCAGTTATGTCGAATTGAATTTAAGTCACATTTGTATATATATATACAGTTGCTGCTACGTTTTTATTTCATGTATTTATATGGTTTTGAATGGTAAAAAACAGTACAATTAATTATAATAAAAATTGTGTGGCAAGAAAAAAAAATATGTTACTGCAAGCAACTAATCCGATTTCTGTTTGTATTGTTTATAGCCAATTGAATATAAAGTAGATGATTTAAATAAATACTTTTCTTAAATTCTCTGTTTTCAATTTCCAAATGACATTATATTAAGAAAGTTGGGCAAACTGATGAATTTATCTATACTTTTTATGTCCTTTTTAGTCATATAGCTCCTCACATTATCAGTTATTCATACTGTAAATTCAAAAATTAATGCAATGTTTTTATTAATGCAAAAAATGTGACAGTTTCAGGTTCACAATATATACAAGCTGGCATTCATAATTTCAGTAATGATTTTCCTTAACAAAATTCTTGCAATCACATTAATTAGATGTCAAATTTTTACCAGTATTTATTTATTCGCAATAATAAATGCACCCATTAATTTTTGAATTTACAGTACATTCTTGGTTTTCAAATATTTGGGTTAGATATAAAAATAAGAAGATGTGGTATAATTGCCAACGAGACAACTCTCCACAAGAGACCAAATGACACAGAAATTAACATTTATAGGTCACCGTACGTCCTTCAACAATGAGCAAAACCCATACCTCATAGTCAGCTATAAAAGGCCCAGAAATGACAAATGTAAAACAAATCAAATGAGAAAACTAACGGCCTAATTTATGCACAAAATAATGAACGAAAAACAAATAGGATACACAGAAACAAACGACAACCACTGAATTACAGGTTGTTCTGATTTCTGATGAAAAGCACATATGACACACCAAATTTAAAATGTAAAATTTTCATGTAAGGTTCATTCACATGACATGCTTTCCAACTACTGATTTCACTCTTTAATTTCATTTTCCCTAATTTTGACAGATATAGACCGTACCTTATATGTATTTAAACAATTTGTTTTTACCTCTCCTACTTACACTTTCATTACATGGTAAATCCGACAATAAGTCACTAGCAATCTGACTACTGGTATCATTTCTGTAATACTCTTTTCCTCCCATAGAAGCTACAAATCTGGTACCAGGTTAAAGATTGTAACTACATTTAAATGAAAATTAAATAAATCACTATATAACAATATATAGTTCTTTTTGCAATAGTGTTGTGTCTTTCTTTAATAGTTTAAACAGTATTTATTAATGAAAAATTATAACAATGAAGTAGTACAATTTTACATAAAATTCAAATATGGGATTCGGAAACAAGTTTAGAAAAACTTTTATAAATCTGTGTCCCATGTGACTTTCTTCAATTAATTGTTTGTATGGCACCCCCAGAATCTCTTTCTCTATTTCTTAACTGACACACAGCAGTTACCATGATGCATTCAATGATGGAAAACAACAATGAAACAATGACATAATTACAATTTTGACAACAAATATCTATTGAAGGATACACTGCAGCCACTGCCATATAAGCTATCATTATTATCTGTAACAGGAATGGAATAATTGGCCAGAACAGGGTAAAGATCATGTTTCCAATGGCCCTGAAACAAAATAAACATTTAAACAATGACATATTGCACACAATAATTAATACACTTATCAAAACTTTTGACCCATTTAGAAAAATGGAAAAAAAGATTGATATTTTTTCAAAAGCAATAATATTAAACTTTTACTTAGATGCAAAAATTTATGAATTTCATTATTCTTTTTTTTAAAACCATCTTTGCTCTCTGTATTCTGACTGTCAAATGAAGTTATCCGACAAGAATTTTAAACTATGACATCAAACGATTTTTTTTTAGCCAAAAAATCATGGGAATACTTTAATTGATGCAAAAGGTCTATAATATTTGTTGGAAACTTTATTCTTTTACCAGATCATCTTCCTTTACAACTGAATAACTTACTTGCTTCCTTCCTCTATAAGCTTTATGGCAATACAAATTCTGTGACACAAAAATATCAAAATCAATAAAAATATTATCAGGAAAGTGGCTGTTGTACAACCTGAAAATAGAATAAAGCATAAAGTAAAATAAGGGTCTATTTCACATATCATCAACAAAATAATCACATGACAGGAATAGAATACACATTCTTGTAATTAAAGAATTTATACTTGAGTGGGTACAATTAATTTGTTTGCTAAGTGGACCATGAGGTCAATTTTATCTTGTTAAACTTCTAGTTTCACATGTACTTCAAAATTTGACAACAGTAAGACATTTGTATGCACATTCTCTCATTTCTGTGATAATATGGAAAACTAAAAATAACAACATTTAATAAATGATGGTAACTGTTCCTTGACCAAATAATACCTGGAAAATATGGAAAATTATAAAGGGAAAGATTTTCAATACTATCTTTACTTACCAAATGCAAGCCATGTCTCTTTTAATGTCAAGTAATATGAAAAATTGAGAGCAAAAGCCTGAGCAATACCAAATTCTGATGTTGAATTTGAGTTCTTCAAATCATAATACTGGGAGTAACTATAGTAACAACCTGAAAATATTAAAGTAATTACAAAATTATGTTTTTATCCTGCAATATTTAGGTTACTATAGCAACGTTTAGTTTGGAAATGAATAAAAATATAAAAGGAGAATGTGTCCCCATGGACACAGGTGATGCCCCCGCTTGCATACAACATTATAAAGGGACATAACTCAAGAAAGATAAAAGTGACCCTATCCAAATTTGTACTTGATCTGAGTTTTAAGGTAATAAGTATTGTGTATAGGTTTCATAATGTTTGGTTGGGGCAAACTTAAAATTACAGAACGGAAACTAAAAATTTCGCAATTTTTGATTTATAAAGGGGCATAACTCGATAATGATTAAAGTGACGCTACCAAAATTCAACTTGATCTGTGTTTTGTGGTAAAAAGCATTGTGTATAAGTTTCATAACATTTGGTTGAGGCAAACTTAAGTTAGAGAAAGGAAACCAATTTTGGGACGTACGGACGTACTTACGTACAGACAGACAAGGGTAAAACTTAATGCCCCCTCCAATATGGCGGGGGCATAAAAAATTGCCCTAATAATTTTAAATGATGCTGCACTCTTGATATTTCAAGCAAATCAAGCTTAACTGTAAATTATCATACATGTATATTCTTATGTAATCAAGATTTGATTTCTTATATTTAGATTTTATTAAACAAGACGGAAATTCTGGAAATGTCACAAAATTCACCAAAATTTGTTTAAAACATCAAAATAAAAAAATGTGAAAGGAGTAGGTCTGGTAAGGGCCGATTTTGGCCTCAAAATTCAAGTTCATCTGATGAAAGATTTTGGACACTTTTTAAACACTTAAGTGTCTACTTCAGTCAATTCAATCAGTTTATGTGAAAGATTTGAACTGATCTAGTCATTAAAGACGCTCAAATTCAAGCTTAAATATGAAAAATCTATCAAATATGCCATAATATGTCACTTTTCAGATGGTTTTAGTCAAAAATGAAAGTGGCCGCATCCGTGTTCATTCTCAACCTTTATATATGTTATGTATTATCATCAAATACAACTTACATTTAAATATTAAGAATGAACACAAATGCGGCCACTTCCATTTCAGACGGAAACCGTCTAAAAATTAACCAAAATGCTAAAATTTCGAAGATTTCAGTAATTTAGCATGACGTAATGATGCTAGTACCCGATACATGTGCATTGTATTGTCAAAAACAGCCCATATTTATATAACAGAAGTATTCTTCTTTCCAATAAATAGCTTAAAATTTACATTTTAACAATTTTGTAAAACTGCTATATTTTGGGGCCAAAAAGGGGTCTTACTGGGCCTACTCCTTTGATTGCCAATAACAGTAGATTTTCAATTCCTTTCAGTGATATCTTTCTAAATAATTGATATTTATTTATAAAAGGTACTATAAATAAATATATATACAGTACATTGTGAAATGTTTAATAATTATTAAGCCATTTTGGAAATAAATATTAAAATCTTTTTCAAAAGATTGATGCAATGGCACAATAAAATCATCATTCTTCTGATTCAATGGAATCATATCCATATACAATAAAAGGATAATCTGGCCTTGCGGTCATAAAACTTTCGAGCACGATTTTCGTACTCAGACTAAGAAATCAACCAATCAAAATCCTGGATTTGGTGTTTCGAGCACTAATTTTGTATTCCGAGTACTGAGTAAAGTTTTATGACCGAGAGCCCTGGTATTCAATAGATGAACAAAATATTCTAACTTCAGGGCCATCAGACTTTGCTCTTACTCCTAAATGGAACTTATAAATCGAAGCAGACTTGTTATGACAGGATTTAATATTTGTAGGAAAATCACTCTTACCAAAACCCATGACTCCTAAAACTGCAAAAATACTGAACCACACCATAAAACCAGTAATCCATCTCATAATAACAATCCACACAAAACATGCTACCATGGCAATTACCAAGAATCTAAAATAAAAATTGAGAATAAAAGGCTCTAAAATAACTTTAAATGTCAAATTATCTGCAAAATATAGTAATTTTTCCTTGGCAAAATATTACTATACATTAAAAAATAATGCTTAATTAATTCTTTATTTGCTTTTGGACAAGATGATCTTAAAATTCAAATGTCTGGATGTGTAATAACATATTTTATTAAACAAATTACTGTTGTTTTTTTTCAAACTTTTTGGAATATTATTAAAAGGAACAAACTTAAAAGTAATAGGACAAAATGTGACTGGTCTATACAAAGCAATCAGCACAAGCCTAGTGTATTGTGTGTGACCTGAAAATAATTTTACATTACACATTCACGATAGAAAGCTTAAAGGGATTGGGAATTAGGTGGTTTATAATTGAGAATTCTTAACATCTTAATATGTACATCAAAACATGCTTCTGAACCATAAGGTTTACACTGACAGGGAACAAAGCCTGTAACAGAACGAGTCAAAGAGTTGTCACACTTTGCCAAAAATTACAAAATTGGAAATACAAAGTAGGTTATGTGAAAATTAACTATTTTAAAGAATCTGACAAATAAAAAATATAGTACATGCAAAAAACACATAATTAACAGCGCTTGGTGATAATCCATAGCCTGACCGATTTCGGTCCTCGAAAGACCTTCCCCAGAGGCAGAATGGTGGATTAAAAGTCGCACCCTATTTAGATTGATCCGGTATCCAGCGGATAATAGTTATCCAGTATCCGGCGGATCCTTTCAGCTAAAAATCCAGTGGAATTTTCTTTGGTTACGGTAAACTTTATATAATGTTACAATAAACATTTCACCAAATGGTATAACCAAAATTTGGGCTTCTACATTGTGGTACAGGGTGTCTTCATTGTAATTTAAGTACATGGTAGTCATGCAGTCTTGATCTTTGGCTTATATATGATGCACCTAAATATCAAGTTTTCTAACATAATAGTATTACATGGTAGTCATGCAGTCACAATGTTCTAGCTTGTTATTGGCCAAAATATCAAGTCTAAACTATTACCCCCCAACCCCCAACAAAATGTTTGTTGGAGGAGGGGGGTTCTAAACAATGTAAGCTTTATTTAAGTCTTCCATACTCCCATTTAAAAGTAAAGGGTAATATTATATTAATCATCTGTGTTAAAGATTTAAACACCTTTAGTATGTTATTCAGGTATTACATATGCTCATCAAGTTCAGGTAATTGCTAGGCTTTCGCTTTAGAGTTCTTTTGTCAGTGGAAAAGATCAGATGAGTATGTTATGGTATACTGACATAAGAGGTCTCTAAACACAGTAGCTCCAAATGGAACTTTTGTTAGTGGAAGCCATATTAATTCTGTGTATCAGCCGGAAAAAATTATGACAAATAAAAAATATAGTATATGCCAAAACACATAATTGACAGCGCCTTATGTCAGTATACCATTACTACATACTAAAATTTATAAAAAGTTTACCGTAACCAAAGAAAATTCCACTGGATTTTTAGCTGAAAGGATCGGACGGATACCGGATAACTATTATACGCCAGATACCGGATCTATATAAATAGGGTGCATCTTTCAATCCACCATTCTGCCTCTGAGGAAGGTCTGTGAAGGACCAAAACTGGTCAGGCTACAGATTATCACAAGGCGCTGTAAATTATGTGTTTTGGTAAGCCTCATGTGTTTTAAAAACCTGGAAATAATGCTGTATAAATTCTCAATATTTCTTAGTCAAACATATTATAATAAAATTCTTACATGACGATCAGGTGCCATGCTGATACTACATCTTTAAATATCATTTCTGCCTCCTGTGATGCTGAATAAAACAAAGCAAGAAATCTGAAATCAGAAAGAATTTGAAGATTATTTTTATTGTATTATCTAAGTGAGAGTAATAAGGTTTTAAATTTCAAGGGATGTGAAAAGTGACTGGTTGTGAATTTTCAAAAAACATTTCCTGAGTTTTTTAACATGACAAATAAACTTCATCTCATTTGGTCTCTGGTGGAGAGTTGTCCATTGGCAATCATACCATATCTTCTTATTTTTATATTCAAATATGTTCTTTGTGGTTGGAATTTAAAATTCTTTATGATTCTGATTAACCTTAAATTCTTTGATAATATTGGTACCTTATTAACATAAACTGTTGACACAGAGATATGTCTTGCTTGTCAGCAGAAAATCAGATAAAAAGACAATCTGATGGATTGCAACATTGCTAATTAATTCAAAGTTGCTGGATCATGACACAGAGGGCATAGCTTCAAAATGATCATCAAACTGAGGTGTATTAAGACATTGACAGTTACTTTCTTCGTAGGCAAAACAAAAAGTAGATTCACTGAAATTTAATGCTCATCAAAATATGCTAAGATTAACCAGCATAGTTTGCATTGCCTCCCTTGGCATAACATCTTAAAAACTTTAGTACCAAAATTTCAGATATCAGCAATAGTTCACTACTATATGCAGTAAATTTTTACTCAGGTTAATTTTTGAGACTAGTGTGTAGTAAAAAGTTTTAGTTTTGTAATTCATTTCTAGGCAATTCATTCTTTTCTGGAAGACAGCTATACCTGGAGGATCAAGAAAAAGAAAACTTCAAAGGAGTTTCTATTCATGAAGATACAAAATCCAGTATCATATGGACTGAAGGGAACTACACAATCACAACAAACTGCCACTTGTTGAAGTTGTCAATGATCTAAAGGTTTATTTTTTTTTCAATTTTTAATGTCATTTGAGACTTCATAACAAGATGAAGACATAGTAACTTCCTACAAGCTTTTTATTTATATGACCTTAAAGGCATATGCTTTCCCTCTCGACATGAACACGCATTGCTCTATTTCTCAAGAAAATAAGATATTAAGGATGTACACCTCTGAGGAGCCAAAAATTTCTAGAATCAAACTTTTTTTCTTAACCTGATATTTGGGTTTATATGACTGTAAAAAAATAATTGGTGAAGAAAAAATCATATGGTGGTGCACTTCTTTTTTTGCTACGGCCCTTTGAAAGTACACAATTTTGATGATTTTCCCATTTTTCATCAATTTTTATCCATTTTTGGGCTATTATCGTGAAAAAAATCACAGTTCCACAATTAAACTTTTTTTCATACTTTCAATAAAGATGAAGTGGACCAATCTGAATAAATTTAACTTAAAAAAATATAGGTAGGTGTTAATATAAGAAAGTTTTATCATATTTTGATGCTTTTTGGGTCAAATTTACCATGCTGCCAATTTTGTAAATTTGTGATTTTTCTCTATTTTTAAAAACAAAATGCATATTATTTCAACTTCTTTGTTATAAATGATTGAAAAAATACATATCTGAGAAATTTGAAAAGAAAAAAGTGATATGGGATGTACATGTTTCTGGTAAAATCATTTCTTGTAATCTCATACATTTTCTCAAAATTTTGGCTAAAAAGACTGACTTGATTGGTAATAAAATTTGAAAAAATTATTACTCAAAAACTACTTATTGTAACTACACAATTTTTTCACAGAGTTAAGTTTGATTATAACATTTTTTGAATTCATTGATATTTTCCACTTGTATCACATGTTTTGGAAATAATTCCAGAACGAGATTTCAACGAGACTGAAACGTCAGAAGAATGCATCCTTAATCCAAATTCTCTATTTGTCTACAAACTAATACATATGATGCCTTGCCTTACATCTTGAAACAGAATATAATTTACCCTCTCACTATCAAAAAGCTTCATATTAAGTTTAATGATAATTAGGTCACTATTAAATCTTTTTCTTTTCCAGGAGTTCCATCCAGCGAATCATCCAATATTATCCATTTATTAATGTATTTGATAAAGATATTATATCAACCTCGTGCTCATAAAGTGGGGCCTTGGTGGCTGAGTGGTGTAAGTTGTCGAAATACTGTATCACTAGCCTATCACTGAGGTTGTCAGTTCCAATCACACGAGTTGTAGGTGTGCTCAACTCTGCAACCTTAATTGACAAGGATTGTCAGTTTTCCTACCAAAATTCAGTGGTTCTCTTTGGTTACCCTGGCTTCTTCCACCAATAAAAAATGACTGCCATAAATAGCACAATAGTGCTGAAAGTGGCTTTAAGCACCAATCAATCAATCAATCAATCTTGCTACGTGTGACTATAATTTTTGTTAATATTTTGCAATCATTTGACTTACAGTATGGTCCAAGGACACAGTTATCTTCCTTTGGATTTCATTGTCTACGAATATATAGTCCCTAGTGTGAACAGTGTATAACTTGCATTTTTTTTATACACTTTCCCAATTTATTTCTTGATATTTTATGCATGAAATATTAAGGGGATGAAATTACATGTTAAAAAAAATTTGGGTACTGAATCTTTAAGTTAAGTAGTGATTTGGTCCAGTTAAAAAAGGTCAAAAATTAGAATGTCTGAAGCTGTCAAAACTGAATTTTAGCCCCCCTTAACACAGAATTGTCAATATTTTGAGTTAGAGCTGGTAGAAGTTTCTAAAATTTTGATATTATTTGTATCAGCAGTAGTACACTACACTGTAAAAATCTTTTTGAGATAGAGCAGGTGCGATTTTTTTAATTTGAATTTATTGTCTAAAAGAAATGCACTACGAAATAACTGTGTTCTCGGGCCGTATGCCTTTTGCCCTAGGCCTGAACCCAATATGCATGTATATACATGACATAACCTTGTAAAGTGGTCATTAACTGTACATAATTTTCCTTTACTAAATACTTACCCTGTCCCATTGCTGATCAAATTTCCTGATATCAGGGTATTATCTGTGTTTGTCAGGTTATAAGTTATATTTGAACCATCTGTATTTACAGCAGTATAAGTTATGACATCTTTTGCTGTTTCCAAAATAGTTTTGAATATTGATGGTATACATCGACCAACAACTACAAAAAAATACATATTAATTTATTTTATACTGCAAATTAAGAAATTATTGTGAAGATTTTATTAATGTGAATAATGCGACTGGGTATGTATCCCAATGATAAGAACTTGCATTCTGATATCTAATACATGTATCTCTATGAAGATTTTTCTGAAATTGCAATAATTGATATCAATTTTTTGTCCATTCTTCAGAAATCTCAATAATAAATGCATTCAATAATTTCTGAATTTACAGTATATAGAACATGTAGAATAGTGTTAACATACAATATTCACTGGAACATTTTATCACCAATGTCTACAATGGTGTATAGTTTTTGCGGACAAACTGGAGCACATTAGACATTGTTAAAGGCCAGTAAGGTAACATGAGAGTTTATCATTTTATTAATGGAGAAACAAAAGTCCATTAGAAAGGCATTAATGGCTCTAGTTACAAATTATTTGTAAATTAGAAAAAATCAATAAAATCTAAACTACTTAAGTTTTTTTACAAAAAGAAAAATTGCCAAATAAGCAACAAAATGTTCTCCTGATTAGAGGTATATGTTTTATAGTTTTGACTACTAACGTTATATTTATTACTTGTCCAGGCCCAGGGTTATTGATTGACCTTTTGTATACCGGTATACATCGGTTTATTATTGGAAGACAGTTTGTTGGCCTCTAAATACTTGTTACTGTGTTACTGTGGATCCATTTACTGTGGATTCATTATTATTCGATGGATACCAATTTTCGTTGATTTTGTGGCTTCAGTTGAACCACGAAATTAAATATTCAACAAACGACAAATTTTTGATAGGCTTGTATGCAGACTTTGGCAAAACCACGAAATTAAATATCCACAAACATATAAGTTTTCCTTAATCCACGAAAAATGGTACCCACGAAAATAAATGAATCCACAGTATTCACCAACATTCGTGGATTTGGAAAAATCCTATTGTCATGGATATTTGATTTCATGGTTTTACAAAATCTGCATACAAGCCAATAGAAAATTTGAACTTCATTGAATACTGAAATTTGTGGTTCACCTGTACCCACGAAATCTACGAAAAATAGGTATCCCACCAATAATAATGAATCCACAGTAGTTTTTCTGTGTCATTGGATTGCTGTCTCTGTATATCTCATATTTCCCTTTGTCATACTTGTGGGTCTCATTGGGGTGTAAGCATGATGCGTGATTGGCCGATTTTTTGTAAGCGTGATACGTGAAAAGTAAAATTATTTTGCATGAAAACGGAAAATGAAGTCGGCCCGTACACTTGAAATTACAATGATAAGCGGGATACAGGATTCTGACAATAAGCGGGATACAGGATTCTGACAATAAGCGGGATACAGGATCAGACCCCTCCCCCCCTATGAGACCCCCATACTTTGGTTCACATCCCATTATTTATAATGAGCACACCATAAATTCTACTACAATACCCCATCATGGTATGACTATTATGATATTTATCCATTTAATAAGTTTCAATTTTTTAAAGATTCAAACTGTAAGGTTTAGCTATTGGGATAGGAAAATATTGAAATAAGGTTAAGTTTAAGAAATTAGTTTTTATAATGAATGACGAAAACATAACATTCAAAGTTTTCACTTTCAAATTTTATGAAGAGCTAAGCAGGGTATACAGGCAGAGGGGAGATTGATCAAGGAATATTTCAACAGCTTTATGAAACAGCCCTGAGATGAGATGTAGCTTAGAAACATCCTTGAGTTTGAAAGACAATTAAAAATCTGTTTATCACTGTTTTCTTTAGAGCAACGTCAGTGACTTCATAACATCCTATTTCTACACGACTGAGAAAAAACCATATCACTCAAATAGTGTATGATTAAATATGAAAAATTATAACAACCAATGATCAAAGCAAAATTTTATAAAATAGCGATAATTTGATTTATATTTGTATCCCAAGTACTTACTATCTGTAGTCTCTACATAATATGCAGCACAATCATTATCTCCAACATATTTCTGAATATCCTCCTGAAATAAAATCAGTTTTTTTGGCAAATATAATTTGGGATAAAATACATTTTAACAAAAACATTGTTACATACTGTCTGAAAATGAATAAACTTTATTAAAGAGCTTGTACAATGGTCTTCATGCATAGTTGTCCCATTGGCTATCATACTACATCTCAAGAATAATACCACCACAATTACAGGTTTCTTTATCCTTTAAGTAGAATTCAAATTACAAAGCAGTACATTACTTATGAATTAAGTCCCTTAAAAATATTTCATCATTTTAAACTGACGTCGTTACCAGAATGTGTTTAAATCTATATCATTAAGTAAGGATGTGAAACTTTGAGGTTTCATTTTCTTCATAACTAGTTCTATACCCAACTATTCTGAGATAGCACTGACATCTGACCGCCTTTTGGAGATATTATGTGGGAGCCATGTGTCTCATGTTCCCAGCAAATCATTAAAAAGGCCTTTGAATAATAGAGCAGTTTTGCACTAGAATCAGATAAGTATATGATGAAAGATTACCTGTGTAAATATTCCAAATTTCACTTTCATTTTCAATTTTCAATCATTTAAGAACCTGTAAGCGGTTATGAAGTTTGAATTAACAAACTACTATTAGTGGGAATTCACAGATTACCTTCCTTTAATCAATTCCCTCATACTGCAATTAAAAGTTGAAGTTTCTAACACTAAGGATCTCAGGAATAACTCCATAAAAAAATAATTTCAGTGTCAAATTCACTTTTGGAAATGACTCTCTGGCAGGGTTATTGATGCAGACCAAGTTGGCACTTATCATTGCAGGTCCTATTAGGTTTTTATCTTCTCAAGTAATTATACTACATACCACTGATGTTGATTCTGTAATGTTGATGCCATCTTTACACACCATTTTATCTATGTCTGCCTGCTGCAGTAAACCTACAGTAGCCTTGGCAACTGTTTCTAGGTAAACATAATACTCAGTAGTGCAAGATTTCCGACAAACCTGTTAAATAAAAAAAAACATCACATGTAGATAATGCATCTGTTGTTAATCCATAGTTACCGGTGATCTATAATCTTTTTTTTTCATGGCTACGAAAATCGAATAACATATCACGATCCACTTAACTTTTTCTTTTCCATGTTATGTCAGCAAATCTGGCATTCAGTCGTACGAAAGTCATTTCATTAGCTGAATGTAGGCAGGATATAATATGTTATACAAAATTTTCCATTGTGTAGTAAACGGGGGCAAGATGAGTTTCTATGTGTAGATTACTTAAGTTACTTTAAGGACAAAAAATAAGAGGCTTTAAAGAGCCTGTGCTAAGCTTACACAGGTCTATGAGCATCTTCAACAATGAGCAGTCCCGAACATTGTGGACTAGAATAGAATTCATGACTAAAATCTCTTTTTTGTTGATAGTTGTATTGCAATTAAAGTCTCTCAGTAGCTTGCAACACTTAAATGTTATTGACATGATTCCAAAATTTACTAACTAAACTAAGAATTCAAGATATATCACCTATCCTCATTGATTTAGATTATCAATCGGATTATTTTTTCTGTGTACAGTTTCTCTCTTTATTCTTTTGTTTCAGGCCAAAACACAAACTAGAGGCTCTAAGAGCCTGTGTTGCTAACCTAGGTCTATCAGAAAATCTTCAACAATGGACTCTCTCCAACATTGTGGACTAGAATAGAATTCATGACAAAAATCTTTTTATGTTCATCTTGTATTGCTGATAATTTTTTCTGTTTACAGTTTCTCTCCATTTTCTTTAGTTTTTGCCCAAAACACAAAAAACAGTAAAACAAATATCAATTTCAGCAATCACTCCTAAAAGAATAAACCAACAATTTCGGCAAAATTTTACTTATTTACAGATCTTGTCTTGCTGATCATTTTTGCTATTTAAAGTGTCTGTCTATCATTTATAGTTTTCAAGATAGTAGGCCAAAAGGTAAAATATTGGAAAAAATCGTCATTAAAGAGCAAGTACACCTACAAGGAGTCGACTGATGATTTCTGTTATTTGACTTATTTTTAGATCAAGTTTTGCTGATCATTTTTGCTTAATTATGTTTCTATCCATCTATTATATTTTTTCAGATATTAGGCAAAAATGCATATTAAAAAATTGATAAAAATTGTCATTATAGGGCAATAACTCCAATAAGGAGTTGTCTAATGATTTCGACCATGTGGACTTAGTTGTAGATCTTGTCTTGTTGATCATTTTTTGTATATAAAGCTTCTCCCAATCCATTATTGTTTTTCAGATAATAGGCAAACATGAAAAAAATCTGTAAAATTCGTCATTTAAGGGCAATAGCTCATATAACAGTTTTGAAGTAAATAGACAATATGCAGATTTCATCATTTTGAACATTTTTGCCCCATCAGAATTTCTCTATTCATAGCGGTTTTCAAGATAGTAGACAAAACTTGCATTTTACCCCTAGTTCTATTTTTAGCCATGTCGACCATGTTGGTTGGCAGATGCATGGAGTCACAGACTACATTTTTAAAACTAGATACCCTAATGATGATTGTGGCCAAGTTTGTTTAATTTGGCCCAGTAGTTTCAGAGGAGAAGGCTATTGTAAAAGTAAATGACGACGATGCCAAGCGATGAGAAAAGCTCACTTAGCATAAAAGGCCAAGTGAGCTAAAAAGGGTAATAAAAATCGCCGTTTAAGGACAATCACTCCTAAAAAACATAACAAAGTCTGCAAATAATTTTATTAAATTTTGACTTATAAGTTGATCTTTTCTTGCATTTTTGATCATTTTTGCTATAAAATGTCTATCTATTTCTTATAGTTCTCAAGGTAATAGGCAAAAACACAAAACATTGCTAAAACTTGTCATTAAAGAAAAAGAACTATGACGATTTCAGCAGTGTTGACTAATTTGTAGATCTTGTCTTGCTGATCATTTTTGCTATTCAAATTGTCTATCTATCTATTATAGTTGTCAAGATAATACAAAAACACTAAAAATGGGTAAAAATCATCATTTAAGAAAAGGAGTCTGAAGACTGACTATTTTGGTCATTAGAAGATTTTTTCTTGCTAACCATTTTTGCTGATCTGAGTTTCTATATACCTATTACACTTTTCAAGTAAAAAAAAAAAACTAAAATTAGATATAGGAACACAAATTTCAGTTTGACCAAAAAAGCTACCAATAATTTGGTATCATAATTCATTATTTATGGCTACCAATCACAGCATCTTAAAATACCTGTTTATTTCAAGAGATGGTTGTACTCACTGTAATAGTGTAGGTTTAAGAATTTTAGCAACATTGCACAGAGAGCTGTATATAAATATAAAAGCATTCATCACTGATCTTTTAATGGAATAACTTCATTTACTAGTACAAATATTTAATTTCACCTTTCAATTGATAGCAAGGTACATATTTTGAGGTGTATTTTCATTCATTCTTTAAACAAGGAAGAACATCTTTTTACATGACCTTTAAAATTTCATTGCAAATATAAGTGGTAAAAGAAAATATTGCACTTTAATATTTTTACTTTTCAACCAGTAAAGCTGAAACTACACTTTTTAAGTAAATTCCAACATATATTTTAATCCCTAAACTCAATTTTATAATAAAATGCTGTAAAATATAGTTTCATTTAAATCTTCATAAAAAAAATTCAACAAAATTCTGTATCATAAATCAAATATTAAAAAAAATATTTCTATATTATCAATGTTAGGCTTGCTAATTATTTTTAACACCTACATATATTACATAATTTCAAAGTGAATGCTGTTTTTAAAAAGATTATCTTTTATTTATCAGCTACATAAATTCATAATTAACATTAATTTAAAATATTGTTGCATCCAACTCATCTTTCCATTTTCACCAGAAAGAACACAAGTAGTTGTAATGGGTTTATTTTAATTATTCATGACCACATCTAAATTTGGTTTGAAATATCAGCAGAAATCTACAAATCAAATGATAAGCTTTCAGTTCTTGATCAGTATCAGCTGAAATTGTATCATCTTAATCATATATCTTCCATATATATAGTTTTAATAAAACCCAAGTTGGCAAGTAAATATTATTAACTTCTAATACATTCACAATTAATATTCTACCTAATTGTATATCAGAAATATTTTCAATTAATTGATGCAGCTAAGATTTATTTCAGCATTTGCTATCTTTTTAGTCTATTAGTTCAAACATTTTATGATATTTTGAATTTCAATGTATTATTTATTCATGAAAACTGGCAATAAAAATTCCTCCTCCATGATCATGATGATATTATACAATCACCTTCCCCCACAATATTACATAAATATGCACTCCACTGCAACCTCTTTATAAGTATAAACTATGCCATACTTTTAATCTTGATTAGAGTACTAGTGTTCTCAATCATATTTACTAACATTCATGTTTCCCACATAGAAGAAAGTGGCATATCGACTGAAATATCAAAAAGTCTAGAATCTTGGATTAAATCTGGTGCAGAATTTAAACGTCTTCCATCACATCATAGTACCTTTTAGATAAGATAATGGTTATGTATGTACATAAAATGTATAATCTGTTCAGTTTCCTAATTATTATAAAAATAAGGACAGGTAATGGTATGATTGCTAATGAGACAACTATCTACCAAAGATAGTACAAATATGATAATAAAAACTAATGGTAGGCGGCTCTCTCACAAGCAAAAAACTCATAACTGTAAAATATAGTTTTGTTAAAAAAGAAAAAGGGTATGATTTCATAGTGTGTCCAATAAGAAATAGGGGAGGGGGTTTGGAGATTTGGTCCATATATTAAAAAAAAAAAATTAAAAAAAAAATTAGTATAAAAGTAATGAAAAAATCAGCACTTCAACAATACTCATAAAATTGAGTAAAGGAACGATAATGAAGTGGATTAGAACAAAAAATGCACTAAAACAGTACTGGGGAAATCCGTACAAACAGTACTGTAAAACAAATTTCACTGAAATAGTACAATATCAAGGTTCCTACTGTTTTACAACTAAAATTCCAGTGCTTTTCCAGGATTTTGCCAGGACATTTATTTACTTTCCAAGATGGTATTGATAGACATGCATAGATGAAGAAACCATAATTAAGTTATATTTAACTGTATAACATTACAATTTTCAACTGTTACAAACAAATACTCTTTCCTACAAACACTCATTTGTCAGTCATGAAGTGCCTTTGAACAAAGGTTAAAAATTGTACGTGTCTTTAATAATCATTGCAAAAACTATAAAAAATTTTGAATCGACATAGTTTCTTACATCCACTTCATTTGAACTTTGGTGGATGGTTGTCTCATTGGCAATCATACTTCATCTCCTTATTTTTATATAGAATTGCAAAAGGGAAATAACTTAATTTTTTGTTAAATGCTACAGAAGATAAAAATTCTTTGTTCTTTTCATTTTCTCTCTTTTGCTCAAATCTAAAAAGTATTCCATGGTTGGAACAACTGAAATAAAATTTCAGCTTTTTCCAGTTTTCAAGTAAGAGTGGGAACCCTGAAAAAACAAAATAACTACAACTACAAATACAAATATACCCTATATTGGGTTATTTCTGTATCATATTTTTTTTCTCATGGTTTTAGCCATAGAATGGGCAGTTACAACTTTTGACATGTTCATTGTTCACATTCATCAACTTTGTACAGATCATTTACATAGACAGTTGCACGCTTCCTTAAGGAAAATTCATGGTAAAATGCACACCACAAATATAAAAAAAAATATAGACACATACACAAATTTCCTGATATAGTATATGTAAGGTACAATAATGTCATGTTAACATTCTGCCTCAGATAAAACTTTCATCCTAGATTTTAAAACTTGAAAACTGGTATTAGCAGGACTGAATCAATAAAATATAAAACAAAAAATAAAACATATCATTTCTATTGTATAAATTTCAATACAGATTCATCAGAGGAAAGCAAATATATATAATTGAATTTTTACAATCAGAATATAATACTATCATAAAGACTTACTTGAGGTGTTGGGCAGCCTAATGCCACTGCACTTGGACCCATTTGAGCACATTTTGAAATGTCAAAGTATACTAGATATGGCCTATCTTTAACCCTGAAAAAATATGATTATCATATCATATTTTACAGATAGTGTTGAAACAGTCATAAATATCATAAATGAACAGAGTTCCAATGTCCCCCGTGTTGCACATATTTTATCTATCCCAGGTACAAGGGCAATAACTAACAGAATCACTGTTTTTGTTCTTTAAAACTGTTCATAAATATCTTAGAGAAATGAATGCTACAGAGAAAATTCAATGTGATTTCCAATATAATTAATATTTCCAAGGAGCTTAATTCGTTAAAAATATTTGATCAGCAATTATTTTCGAAAAGTGTTAAAGACATTGCTGATATAAACCTATGATATAAGTTTCATAAAATTCTGTCAAGAATTGTACACATGTGAGCGCTAATGATGCAATTTTCCATATAATTAATATTTCCAAGGGGCATAACTCTTTAAAAAAATTTGATCGGCACAGATTTTCCAACTGATCCAAGACATTGATGAAATAAACCTGTTATATAAATTTCATAAAAATCTGGCACGAATTGTACAAGAGAGCACTCACAAGGCAATTTTCCATATAATAAATATTTCCAAGGGGCATAACTCTTCTAAAAGTAATTGATCGCCACAGATTTTCAAACTTATTCAAGAAATTGCTAATATAAACGTACAATAAAAGTTTCATAAAAAACTGGCAAGAATTGTACACATGAAAGCGCTAACGATGCAATTTTCCATATAATATATGTTTCAAAGGGGCATAACTCTTTTAAAAATAATTGATCGGAACTGATTTTCAAACTCATCTGAGACATTGCTGATATAAACCTATGTTATAAGTTTTATGAAAATCTGGTAAGAATTGTACAATGAGAGTGCTAACAATGCAATTTTTCATATAATTTATATTTCAAAGGGCACAACTCATCAAAAATAATTGATCGGCACTGATTTTCCAAACTTGTTCGAGTCATTACTGATATATATATATACCTACAATATCAGTTTCATGAAAATCTGGCAATAATTGTACACATGAGAGCACTAAAGATGCAATTTTTCATATAAGTAATGCTTTCAAGGGGCGCAACTCTTTTTAAAATAATTGATAGGCACTAATTTTCGAACTCATCTGAGATATTGCTGATATAAACCTATGATATAAGTTTTATAAAAATCTGCCAAGAATTGTACATGTGAGAGTGCTAACAAGACCGGACGGACGGACGCCCGGCATTTCTATGTCCCCCCCCAATGTGTTGCGGAGGGGACAAAAATTCAATTGCTTATACAGAATATAAGATTAGTTTTAAAAAATAGATCAAAGACTCGAACGGCCGGGTTGCGTAGAATTTTTCTTATATATGGTGAATTTCAACTGATTAATACAGTTTGTTCTTATGTTTACATACTGTTACACCACTGTCCTAGGTAAGGGGGAGCATTGGCGCCTTCAAAAATGTTTAACCCTGCCACATTCTTTATGTGTCTGTCCCAATTCAGGAGCCTGTAGTTCAGTGGTTGTCTTTGGTTCATGTCTGTTATATTTATTTTTCCTAAATTGTTTTGTTAAAATATGACTAAGTTATCAAGAAAGGAAAAATGAGAAAAAATCCTCAAACAATTTCATAAAAGTAGTTGCTCAACCTATGTGCAATCTTCCTGTGAAGTTTCAGGAATTAAATGGTGTTTAATGCCATTTCAGCAACCTAGCTTTGTCATGGAGGGCAGATTTTTATTGGTGGAGGAAACCACTGTACCCAAAAAGAACCTGTTAGGAAAATAAACTATCCTTGTCAATTAGATTCAGGTCAACACACCTCCCCTTGAGCAGGGGTTCAAACTCACAACATCAGAATTGACAGGCTATAGCTAGTGATCACAGAAGATGAACTACTTAGACCACTCAGCCACCGAGTCACAACAATTGAGCTATAATGTACTGTATGTACACATAACCTTTAAATGAGTCTATAATTAGTATCATTTATCCTACAATTTGAACCTACTCTGCATCATAGCCACATATAAGTCCTGAAGAATCTGTAGGATGTAGTAATCTGTTGGGATTGCCCCATACAAAACCTGAAAAAAAAATAGATGAAGAATTTATCACTTTGAATGCATGTACTTTATATTTCTGTAAAACTTTTTGCTATGATACTATTTATCTCTTAGTTTAAGAACAGAGCTTTATGAAGCAATTTAATAGAAATTATAACTTTCATTTTGTGTACCTACAAGAAATATATCTACAGATTCAATGTGAATCTAAAATTTGCATATGGGAATATTGTTCGAACTTTCTTTAGGTTTGATTAGTAAGCTATGAAAAAACTAATGTAAAAACTAATTAGGCTTTAATGAAAAGTTTAAACAAAATACTTGATCCATCTTATATTCAAGTCCATAAACAAAGCATGGCAAAATCCTTTTATTGACAAGTTCCAACAAATACAATCCCTCAATCAGTTGGTAATTGACAGGCCCAGACAAAAAGCATGTTCTTTCTTATTAAATATGTATAGATTATAACATGCCCTTTTCCATATTGGCCCTGGTATCATCCCGAGACTCCCATATCGGCCTCGAGGCTTTAGCCAAGGGCCGATATGGGTTGAGGGATGATACCAGGGCCAATATGGAAATCACATGTTATAATCTATTTATCATTGTTTATCACATATTTAAGTTCTGCAGAAAAGAGAAAAAAGTTCAATTGTAATAACTTAATGAAATATAACAGGTAAAATCTTAAAAATTTTATCACAAAAGTTTTATCACATTTTCAAATTTAGTTTTTATCATTTACTCCATAGAAATTTATTGTCACATTTCCACTTATTTTGGAATATGGCAATACACAATTGCGTAATTCTCCGGCACTTTTTAGCCACTCCATTAGAATTTTAATGTCACTTTCAGTTCTTTTCCTTGTGTTAGCGTTTTTCATTTGCTCTACAAAGTCTGCCGTATCGCTTTCCTCCACTGTGATGAAACCAGCACCGTCATTATTCGCCATTGTCGTTAAGGACGCAATGACGTCACATCATTTGGAATCAGGGCACAATAACCAATAACCTCTTTTTTGCCCCATGGCAATTTTGAGGTTATTACATATGCAAAACCCAATGTATTCGTAACAAATATGTGATAAAGTAAAAATACCAGCCAGAAATTACATCATTTAAAATCAAGGTAACAAACAAGCACTAAATTGTTGCTTGGAATATCAAATTTTGAATATGAAAATGACATTTGATTATTCAAACTTTAATTATATTACAATGCATATTATTATGTTATGCAGGGATTTTAATGGAGGTTGCCATTATCAGATTTTGCAATCAATAAATAACAAGAGTGCACATGATGAAATGTCTCGTCTGTTTTAAAGACCATTGATATTATGTTGAAAGTCTTAAAGATAAAGGTTTTACTACAAGTATCACATAAACTTAACAGTTTTAAAGAACCATGACAATGAGGTCAAGGTCAGATAAAAACTGTCACATAGACATGTACACCTTACAATTATTCCATACACCAAATATAGTTGACCCATTGCTTATGGTAATTGAAAAACAGACCAAAACACAAAAACTTAATGTTGACCAATGAACCATGGAAATGAGGTCAAGGTCAGATGATACTGGCTAGACAGACATGTACACCTTACAATCATTCCATACACCAATTATAGTTGACCTATTGCTATGAGTATTTTAAAAACAGACCAAAACAAAAAAACTTAACATTGACCAATGAACCATGAAAATGAGGTCAAGGTCAGATGACACCTGCTAGACAGACATGTACACCTTACAATCATTCCATACACCAAATATAGTTTAAACCTATTGCTTATAGTACTTAAAAAACAGACCAAAACACAAAAAACTTAACATTGACCAATGAACCATTAAAATGAGGTCAAGGTCAGATGACACCAGCTAGACAGACATGTACATCTTACAATCATTCCATACACCAAATAAAGTTTACCTATTGCTTACAGTACTTGAAAAACAGACCAAAACACAAAAAATTAACAATGACCAATAAACCATGAAAATGAGGGAAAATCTGCCAGTCTGACATGTACCCCTTACAATCATTCCATACACCACATATAGTTGACCTGCTGCTTGTAGTATCTGAGAGACAGACCTAATAAAGTAACTTTAACCTTGATCACTGATCCATGAATTGAGGTCGAGGTCAGATTAACCCTGTCTGACGGACATGTAGACTTTCTGACGTTGCAAGGAACCCATATACCAAATATAGTTATCCTATTACTCATAATAAGTGAGAAATTCACATGACAAAAAAACTGTAATTTTTTTTCAAGCAGTCACTGAACCTTGAAAATGAGGTCAAGGACAATGGGCAAATGACAGACGGAAACTTCGTAACATAATTAGGTATCTGCATACAAGGTACGAAGCATCCAGATCTTCTACCTTCTGAAATATGAAGCTTTATACAAATAGTTTACGCCACCGCCGCCTGATAGTAATAGTACTAATACCTATGTCTAGGCGAGACAAAAATGTGGCAATTATAATTCATTAATGGTGGAAGAATTTGGTGAAAGAAATATAACAGTTCAATATTGTAATTAATGAAATCCTTGAATCAATGCTACTTCAGATGACAAACTAAAAGTTTTCAGATTTGCAGTATTAATTTATAATAACTGTGTATTTTCTATTTCCTATATTCATTTTGTCACAAGATTAAATGTTCATTCCTATCTTATAATTTCAAAGATATAAACAATTAAATGTGTATATAAAAATAAGGAGTTGAGGTATGAGTAAAGTTCATATTTCACTCTTAATTAATAAATAAACCCTGAACTACTCATGTAGTTTATCATATAAATCTAGAAAGCATAGAAATGCTGTCATAGCAAAAGTAATCATTCAACTTAATAAGATTAATGGGAGAGGCTTTATATCACCTTATACTCTTATTATAAAACCCTATTTGATGTAATAGTAGAATTTGAAAATGCATTGCCAGCTGTTTCTTCAGGGAATATCTATCATATCTATATTTCTACATTAGTTTGTTATATTTCATATTACTAAATGCCTTTAAAATCAATAATTTTATTCATATTTTCAAAGTTAAAAATGATACAGTTACAATGTCTAATGCAAATTAATGTCTACAATTCAAAACCACTAGTCCTTCAATCTTATAAACAGCTACATGTGCAAAAGAGATAGCCCAAGGGCAAATTTTCCCTAAATTAATTTCACATAAAAGCTATTTTCAAGAAGGATTTTTTTTTAGTTGTAATCTCGGTCCTGCCTTTTTATTTTTCACTTTATTCGGTCCCTCCTTTTTTTTATTAGTTTATCCTGACTTTTTATATATAATTTGTCATCCTGCCTTTTTTTTTTGCCAAGTTGCTCATCCTGCCTTTTTTTTTACTGAAAACTTCTGTCCTGCCTTTTTTTCAAATTTCATCCTAAGTACCCCAATAAAAATGAAATGGTAGCTCCCTTACAACAATAATTCAAACTGATTAACATGCACAAGCTTAAAGATGATTCAAAACTGCAATTTTGAGTATTTAATCGAAACAAATAATAAGAACATTCCAGACCATCAGTAAAATTCTAAAAAAAGAAAAATCTTCTATGTCTTGTAGGTGCACTCTAATTCATATAACATGTGTACAAAACTGCATATTTTTCAAAAGTTTCTCAGTGCAAATTTTACAAAAACATTTTTCTTACATTTATCTGTGTCATTGTAAAAGTAATGAAAGACCATAACTCCTAAACAGCAAAAGTGAAAATCATTAATATCAAACTTGAACTCAATTTTGTCAACATTAACAACACATTAAAATTTAAGAAGATTTGGTTGAACAGTTTTCAAGTTAATGCACAAAAATGACTTAAAATGCTATTTCCAAATCAATAAAGGAAAATAACTAGTGAATGGCAAAAGTTGTCAATATCAAACTTGACCTCAATTTGTCATCAGTAACAACATACTACAGGTAAAAAGGAAACACCATCAAGTGTCCTTTTCCAATCAATCAGGAACCACAACTCCTAATCCGCAACAGTGAAAATCGCCAATAACAAACCAAACCTCCATTTTCATGATTTTGTCATTTGTAACAACATTTAAAATTAAAAAATCATTGGTACAAAGGTTCATAATGTAATTCTACTGAAACAAAGTGCCATTTTCTAATCAATCAAGGACCCTAACTCCTGAACGGTAAAAGTGGAAACCATGAATATCAAACATGAGCCCATTTTGTCATCAGTAGCAACATTTCAAAATTTGAAAAGCAATATTGGCTGAATGGTTCATAAATTATTGCATTGAAATGACTGGAGACAGACTCCCATCCTCCCACCACATCAACCCCAAATCAGTATAGACATTTCTATTAAAAAAAACAGATAATAATAATAATCCTTTGATTTATAGCTTTTTCCCAACTTATCATATTGTGGCCATTTGGCTGTACATGTATACTTGTACATTTTAACGTTAATGAGAGCAACCCATAGTAAGGATATAATGTGATGTGCTAGAAAAATCTACATTTCACAATAGTTATGGCTATTTACCAGGGAATACTAAACACTGAAAATTAATTACTAATCAGCAGAAAATTAATATAAAAACAAACCTCCATTTTGTCATTTCTCTGTAACAACATATCAAAATATTTTAAAAGCATTGGTTGAAAGGATCATAAGCAATTCTGCTGCAACAACATAAAGTGACATTTTCCATTCATTCAAGTACCATAACTCCTGAAAGTCAGTTACATGGGTATTAACCAGGGAATAATTAACACTGATTATGAATTATCAATCAGCAGAAAGTTGCAGTTTTATAAATCTAAAGCTGTCCTGAATATGCATGAATGATTTTCACTGGACATGCTGGATGTGAAGCAATAAGCAAAAATCAATCATTATCAATCTTAAGTTACATACCTAATATAGACACAGCTATAAGTCCAAAGATGAAGACTAAAAATAGCAAACAACATATGATATCTGTACAAGACCTGCAAAAAGAAATTTTATTTCTACATTCTTCTACCATGATATTAGCTAATTTATGTTACATGCATGAACTTACTATATATATATATACAAGAGTGTCTTTCAGCAATACTTTAATTCTTTTGCCTTGATTTATTTATATGAACATGATGAATAAAAGGAGATAAAAGGGTTGATATCAAAGAGACAGCTACCCATCTACACAAACAAAAGAGATCAAGGCCATCATACTGTCATCAAATTTTAAACTGCTTTCTACACAATTCCAAAGTCATATCCAGTGGCTGTTTCTAGAGAAGGCAATTTATATGACAACACCCACTTGATGTCCTTGGGTTGCTGTTTCTTTGAAGTTTTCCACACATCTCCTTTTATTCATATCAGATGGATGATGGTGAATATGTCCTTGTGGGATTTACACTATCATGATTATATGAAAAAAGGGAAAACAGTATGATAAAGTAAACACCTATCTAGTAAGTCAAGACACCAGAATATTCAATCAATGATAACAAACGATAAATAGTTTTATTCTATAGATCTATACATGAATCTGTGGAAATTTTTCTATATATGATTAGAGTTATATTGCCAAATTGCCAGTACACTTTGCTGCTTACAATTCACTCTGTAGAAATTTAATGAAAAATACACGATACAGGTCGACAGAACAAAAAAATGGAGAATGTGTCCCGGACCCATGGACACAGATGATGCCCCGCTTGCATACAACATTATAAAGGGACATAACTCAACAACAATAAAAGTGACGCTACCCAAATTTGTACTTGATTTGAGTTTTGTGGTAATAAGTATTGTGTAAAGGTTTCATAATGTTTGGTTGGGGCAAACTTAAGTTACAGAACGGAAACTAAAAATTTTGCAATTTTTCCATTTATAAAGGGGCATAACTTGATAATGATTAAAGTGACACCAACAAAATTCAAACTTGATCTGTGTTTTGTGGTAAAAAGTATTGTGTATAAGTTTCATAACATTTGGTTGAGGCAACTTAAGTTAGAGAATGGAAACTAAAAATTTTGCATTTTTTTCCATTTATAAAGGGCATAACTCAAGAATGGTTAAAGTGACCCTACCAAAATTCAAACTTGATCTTTATTTTGTGGTAATAAGCATTGTGTATAAGTTTCATAACGTTTGGTTGAGGCAAACTTATTAGAGAACGGAAACTAAAAATTTTGCAATTTTTCCATTTATAAAGGGGCATAACTCTAGAACAGTTTGAGTGACGCTACCAAAATTCAAACTTGATCTGTATTTTGTGGTAATAAGCATTCATGATTGTGTATAAGTTTCATAACATTTGGTTGATGCAAACTCAAGTTAGAGAACGGAAACCAATTTTGGGACATACGGACGTACGTACAGACAAGGGTAAAACTTAATGCCCCCTCCGTTACGGCGGGGGCATAAAAAATGACTTCTTATCATATACCAATGATAACCCATTTGTTGATTTGCATTGTTAAATTGCTTGGTTTTTGGGACCATGACCATTCATCAATTTTGTAACGTTCAAACCAATTAAAATTAGTTCTCCGCACTTGCTCCTCATTTTTGTTTAGTTGTTTTCATGTTGTGCATAGAAAATAACCGCCTGTTTTTTTCTGCAGCTTCCCCACTTCCCTTGTCAAGCTGATTACCTCAGCCAGAGGATCTCTTATTTTCCCCTGGCCTGCCATTTTTTTCTGCAGGGAAGAAAAACAGGCGGATATCTTCCTCTCACAACATATAAACAACTGAACAAAAATGAGGAGCAATATAACTAATTTTAATAAGGTTGTGTATCTTTGATTTTTTACAACTCAAGCATCTATGCCAGTTAGCAATACATGTATATATATATGTATCAGCTTTGTAAAGATAAACTATATTACATGTACTTACCTGTTTTCTATTGGACCTTTGAAGTCTTTATCATGTTTTCTAATTTTACCTGTAAAGAGCAGGATAATATTTTTAAATATGTCATAATATGTAAATCTTGAATAACAAGACTGGTGGTGATCTTGAAGGCTCATTTCTCTGTGCCATATTTAACAGCTTACACCTTACATCTAATACAACATTTTTGCGCCTGTCCCAAGTGACAGGAGCATCTGGCCTTCGTTAGTCTTGTATTTTTTTTGGATTTCAGTTCATTTATATGTTTTGGAGTTAAGTGTGACATCCATTTTCACTGATCTTGTACACATTTTTATTTAGGGGCCAGCTGGAGCCCACCTCCCAGTGTGCAGGATTTTCTCGCTGTGGCAGCTGTGTTAAAGACCCATTGGTGGACTTTGGCTGTTTTCTGCTCTTTGGTCGGATTGTTGTCTCTTTGACACATTCCCCATTTCCATCCTCAATTTTTTGCATAATGAAAGAAATCACATACAACCAATGAATGTCATAAATGAACATTTCATTATACAAGAGAATATTGAACTGTTACAACCAACCACCACTTCATTATCTATACATCTTTTTTTCTTCATTGTTCGTGGTCATATTTTCCATGACGGCTTCAAAAAAAGGAACCAGATATCCATGAAACCTCCAAACCACCTGAGCTCACCTTCAGTTTTTTGGTGGGGGTTGTATTGATCAATCTTGTGTTTTCTGTGTACTGTTTTCGTGAACTGTTATTTTTCTGTTTGTCTTTATTTATTTCTTTTGGCCATGGTGTTGTCCTTTTTTTTCTATTGGTCATTTTGTTGTCAAATCTTGTTTCTTTTTCTTTTGGACATTGTGTCGTGTTCTTTTTTCTTTCGGCCATGGTGTTGTTTTTTTTTTTCTTTTGGCGACTGTGTTGTCTCTTTCTTTCACTTGGGTTTTTAATAGCCAACTATGTATTTTCTTTTTTGTTTTAATTTACATATATATTGCAATGGTTCCTAGCACATATACATATATGTACTTTTCTATTAATGTCTTAATTTTGTCCATTTGCACAACTTACTCCCCCAACCAAATCATGGTGTTTTAATTATTAGTGCATTATGCCAAAACATAAATTGTAAAATTCCTTAATTTAAATTATTAAGAAACTTAATATGTTCCTAATTGACCTAAGATGATTTTGGCTTTTTTTTTAAGACCCCGATTGGTCATATACATTTGTACATGTATCTCCTAATAATTTGACGTAAATTTATCATCCCTGGCTTTCAAATGTTTAGAGTGAGACTGTTTCTGATGAAGGTAAATTCAGAAAAGGGCTTCAGACCCACTAACTTTAAAAAGTGTTATTTTCTGATTCATATTGTGATTTGTCACAATCTGCCAGATTGTGACAAATCACAATATATATATATATATATATACAAGTCTAAATTGAAAACAACGTTCAAACCTATGATTGCGTTGGATAAAAACCGCAATTCTTATACGTGTGCATGCAAAACAAATTTCTTTGTAGAGGGGTCTAAAATTTAAAATACAGCACAAACAACATTTTCCAAAAGACCAATGAAGTGAAAAAGTATATTTTAACAAATGCATTTGACTAGCAGGTCGAACAACGGATGTTCTTAAACCCTGCTGACTGCCATGGCGATTGCCAAATAAACGGATCACAGATGTAACACAATGGATCTTAATTATATTAATTTAATACCAAACAGAAAACAATAAACTTGCGAAAAAGATGGTATACCGCAAACATGAGGTGCAAAAATTTGTACACCATATCCGGATTTCGACAATTAATGTCTCTTCAGTGATGTTAGGAATCGAAACGGTATTTGGAAGGCCATATAATTTACCTCAATTTGGGATTGACTCTTGAATTTTGAAGAGTCGAAATAGGATGAACGGATCATATTAACCCAAAGGCAAATATAATACAAGCCCAAAATAAAAAATATAAACAAGTCTAAATTGAAAACAACGTTCAAACCTATGATTGCGTTGGATAAAAACCGCAATTTTTATACGTGTGCATGCAAAACAAATTTCTTTGTAGAGGGGTCTAAATACAACACAAAAACAACATTTTCCAAAAGACCAAATAAGTGAAAAAGTATATTTTAACAAAACGCATTTGACTAGCAGGTCGAACAACGGATGTTCTTAAACCCTGCTGACTGCCATATATATATATATTATATACATATGTATGTATCATATGTACAATGTATATCATTTAATCTACATTGACTACATTGTAACATCCTGTTTGTTTCATTATATCATTTATGATGACTATCACTACAAATAACCATGGCCTGCCACCATGACAAATACAAATGTATCATATAAGGGAGGATTAAATTATTATCATACTTCTTATGTTTTGGTCTTGTATTTGTGTTCATAATCATAGGGTGCACATGCATTATGAAATCTTCCTGAGAAAATCTAGCTAAATAGATTTATAACCAGTATTATGGTAGCACACTTTACTTTATTTATGACCATCTTAAATTCATATTATACAAAACATGAATCATCACTGTTAAAACACTATCAATAAAATGTAGTCAATATATTATTCCTAATTAGACTTAAAGTACATATGTGACTACAATGTAAAGTACTGTATACCCCCAGGAAACACACACAAAAAAGAATTTAATAGTTAGGTTCCCATCTTTTAATTAGGTTCAGGTGGACCATCTGGCTAAAATGGCTCTGTTTCCACATCAAAATTTACTCTGGGTACAGACAAACCTGTGTATCTAGAAAAGTTTGAAGACTCAGCAATATAAGCCCTAGATAAATAAAATTTAAATGTATTTTATGTTTTGGAAAACTGAAAACTGAATTTTGCTGTGTACTTTTTTCCATTCCTGCAGAAGAAGATAAAATTAACAAACAGTTGAGTTTCACTCAGTGACACAGTTTAAATCACCAATTATTTTCAGGTATCTACTGTCCTTCTATTGTCCTTGTCAATCAATACAGTTCACTTTTATTACTACCTGTGGGAAAGTTCTCAAACCTCTTTCCCAACTTTGTTTATTTTGGCACCTTCTTATGAATGAAAAAGAGCACTGCAAAATCCAGTTAAAATATTTTAAAGCACATCATGCCCTATTAAGATTAATAAAATTCAAATGCATTTTATGTTTTACAAAATTAATAAAATGCTCCGCTTGGGCGCAGCTTGATACGACCGCAGAGGTCGAACCCTGAACAGTTGGGGCAAGTATGGACACAACATTCAAGCTTGATACAGCACTGAATTTGGATTGTAATTAAATATTTGACACAGCATAGGTTTCTGACACAGAATGAATGTGGTCTAAGAACTTAAAAATTTTTAATTTACCTATTCAAACCATATCATTATTATTTGCTTTTATATATAAATCAGAAATAACCAATTTAAAATGGAAAATTTTAAAGAAAAAAAATGAAACCCCTCCCCCTCCCAAATTTTTTGAACCCCCTTATGATTCATCACCCCCAAATTCAATCCCAGCCTTCCCTTTGTGGTATGGTACCTTGCAGTACAATTTCAGAGAGATCCATACACTTGACCACAAGTTATTGTCTGGAAACTAGAAAAATGCTTGTTTTTTTGCCCCTTTTTGGACCCAAATTCCTTAACGTTTAGGGCAATTACCCCCAAACTCAAACCCAGCTTTCCCTTTGTGATATGGAACCTTGTAGTACAATTTTATAAAGATCCATACTGACTTACACACAAGTTATTGTCCTGAAACTAGAAAAATGTTTGTTTTTTTGCCCCTTTATGGCCCCTAATTCCTAAAATTTTGAGGCAATTACCCCCAAAATCAATCCCAGCCTTCCCTTTGTGGTATGGTACCTTGCAGTACAATTTCAGAGAGATCCATACACTTGAACACAAGTTATTGTCTGGAAACTAGAAACATGCTTATTTTTGGCCCCTTATTCCTAAACGTTTCGGGCAATTACCCCAAACTCAATTCCAGCTTTCCCTTTGTGATATGGAACCTTGTAGTACAATTTCAAAAAGATCCATACACTTACACACAAGTTATTGTCATGAAACAAGAAAACTGCTTATTTTTTGCCCCTTTTTTTCCCCTAATTCCTAAAATTTTGAGGCAATTACCCCCAAAATCAATCCCAGCATTCCCTTAAAAGGCTTTGTTATATGGAACCTTGTGGTACAATGTCAGAGAGATCCATACACTTACACACAAGTTATTGTCATGAAACTAGAAAAATGCTTGTTTTTTGCCCCTTTTTGGCCCCTAATTCCTAAAATTTGGAGGCAATTACCCCCAAGATCAATCCCAGCATTCCAATTGTGATATGGAACCTTGTGGTACAATGTCAGAGAAATCCATACACTAACACACAAGTTATGTCTGGAAGTTACAAAAATGCTTATTTTTGGCCCCTAATTCCTTAACAGTTGGTACCATAACCCCCACCTTCCTTTTGTGATATTGAACCTTATGGTAAAATTTCATAAAGTTCCATTCACTTAAACTAAAGTTAGAGTGCGAAAACCAATGTGTCTTCGGAGGACGACGACGACATTAATACGTAACACATAAACAAACGACAACCACTGAATTACAGGCTCCTGACTTGGGACAGGCACATACATACAGAATGTGGCAGGGTTAAACATGTTAGGGGGATCCCAATCCTTTTTTAAAACTCTCCATGTTCTTCATGTGCCTGTCCCAAGTCAGGAGTCTGTATTCAGTGGTTGTCATTGGTTGCTGTTTTTTTTCCCCATTATAATCATTTTTATTGTTTTATCATAAATCAGGCCATTGGTTTTTTCGTTTGAATTGTTTCACATATTGTTGGGGCCTTTTTGATGACTAAATGGTAGGGTTTTGCTCAGTTTGTTGAAGGCCTCATGATGACCTATTATTAAATTGCCCCAATCCATGTTATGTTGGATAGTTTTCTCAAAGGCAATCCTACCACATCACATTATTTATATTAAACAGTATCTAAATGTTACATGTATCTGCAAAAAAAATCAGAAAAATTTCAAATTTTTGTTCACACAATATATTGTATCTTTTAATCATATAGAAGCTTCCATCAAGGTTTTATAAAATTCTATGAAGGTTTGACACGTGAAATGGATGTTTTAAAAAAACTATAATCCCAGACTGTATCTACAATGACCACTGTCCTTTCCTCGATCTTGATATCTATATCATTAACGGGAAGCTTAATACAAAAACTTATAATAAAAGAGATGATTTTTCATTTCCTATCGTTAATTATCCATTTTTAGATGGTGATATTTTGGCTTTAATATTGATTCACTTATAGGGTCTTTGCATCAGAATTAAGCCTATTTATTCTAAAACCAGTTGTTGGCATGACACGGGTTATGTTCTTCTCATATATTTTATGATGGTATAATACTAAACCCCTAACAGGAGGGATTGTGCCTGATATTCATATGATGAAGACATAATCTTTCAATCAGTTTAATTGGGGTCTTTAGCTGGCATGTCAGTAACTGCTAGTAGTCTGTTGTTATTTATGTATTATTGTCATTTTGTTTATTTTCTTTAGTTTCCTATTCTGGACATCGGACTCAGACTTATCTTGAACTGAGTTTTACTGTGCGTACTGTTGTACGTTTGTTTTTTCTTCATTGGCTAGAGGTATAGGGGGAGGGTTGAGATCTCAAAAAACATGTTTAACCCCGCCGCATTTTTGTGCCTGTCCCAAAGTCAGGAGCCTCTGGCCTTTGTTAGTCTTGTATCATTTTTAATTTTAGTTTCTTGTGTATAATTTGGAGTTTAGTATGACGTCTATTATCAATGATCTAGTATACATATTTGTTTAGGGGCCAGCTGAAGGACGCCTCCAGTTTGGGAGTTTCTCGCTGCATTGAAGACCCATTGGTGGCCTTCCGCTGTTGTCTGCTCTATGGTCGGGTTGTTGTCTCTTTGACACATTCCCCATTTCCATTCTCAATTTTATATATGTAAATGTGTAACTTCAAAATAAAAAAGTAGTCCTTTTATTGGTAAAACAGTCTGCATAATCTTTCAATCTGTCTAATTGAGGTCTGGAGCTGGCATGTCAGTATACGGAACTGTTAGTAGTCCTTTGTTAATTTATGTTGATTATTGTCATTTTGCTTAGTTTCTTCTATTACCTATTCTAACATGGGACTGGGACTTCTTTTAAACTGAATTTTACTGTGCCTATTGCTGTGTGTTTGTTTATTCCACATTGGCTAGAGGTATAGGGGGAGGGTTGAGATCTCGCAAAACATGTTATACCCCGCCACATTTTT